GGGTTCGACCTTGACCCTGATGCCTGCTGCTGTATATTTGGAGTTTGCGTCTCTCTCTCTCTCTCCCTCTGGTGAGATGTTAACTACCTCGCCTGGTAGACAGGAGGTCGTGGGTTCGACCTTGACCCTGATGCCTGCTGCTGTATATTTGGAGTTTGCGTCTCTCTCTCTCTCTCCCTCTGGTGAGATGTTAACTACCCCGCCTGGTGTACAGGAGGTCGTGGGTTCGACCTTGACCCTGACGCCAGCTGCTGCTGTTTTATTTGGAGTTTGCGTCTCTCTCTCTCTCTCTCCCCGTGGTCGCGTGAGTTTTTCTCCGGTTCCTCCGGGTTTCCGCCCCCCCACCTCCCTCCACGTGTGTTGATTTTTTGTTTTTTCACACCGTACGTAGCCAAGCGTGCTAATCGGAGATACGGAACAACAACAACAACAACAGCGGTGTATTCGTTCGAGCCACGTGGCAAGAGAAACCAGGGGGCAGGAATCCCTGGTCCGGTCTGCCTCCAAACGAACGCCGGATGAGGATGAGCCATCGTCCGTCCGCTTCCCCCCCCCCCCCCTCCTTCTTCTGACTCTACAAGAAGAAGCTTCAGTTGCTTGATGTGCGCTATATATATAGAGAGAGATATTATCCCGGCTCCCGCTAAATATACGCCGGCGTTTTAACCTACACCCGACTTTGATCATTTTTCACGCGCGCTGCCCGCGATTGATTGTGTTCAACCTTCGTGTAATTTGCCGTGACCTTTCGTGCGGTGACCCCCCCCCCCTCCCCTACCTGCCCCCCCTCCCCTGCCTGCCCCCCCCCAATCGCCCTCCCCCCAGCTCCCCGTGTAAGCTTCTGTTGTGAGCAACTCACGGCCCTCCACACGGATCTGCTTGGGAGCTCCGCGTTTGTTCGCAACGCTCCTGAGCTTCATGCATCTCGAACGTGGCTCATCAGCATCTTGGTTATCCCCCTCTCCCCTCACTGCCCACGTCGTCACCTACCTATCAGACCAACAACACAGAGCTTACTACGTGCACCTACATCTCTCATCTCACTCCACTCCCCTCCACGCACTCCCCTACCCCTCCCCTCTCATCTCACTCCACTCCCCTCCACGCACTCTCCAACTCCAGCGTTCTATCGAAGCCCCGACTCAACGATCTCTCATTGGGAGGTCGCTCCTTCTCCTCTGCTGCCCCCACAGTCTGGAACTCCCCTTCCTCCAGCCCACCGCGCTGTCGACTTCCTGCCCTCGGTTCAACTCCAGGCTTGAAGACCTTCCTCCGCTTATCTCCCGTGAATGACCTCCCTCCCTCTCTATCTCTTTAAAAATATAAAACCCGCCAACCCTTCGCATGAAATAAACTAAACCTCGTTTACTCCAGGACTGGGCGCATCCCACCCTCGTGTACGTACAGCGTCTTGAGACATCCATCCTTGAGACGCTATGCAATCGAAAATCCCAAATCATCTCCTGGGGCTTTTGTCTTGAGAGCATCCCGTCATTCCCATAAGTAAGAACACGCACACACAAAGATCGACCACCCCCAGTCAATGACTCTTTTAGGCCGGTCTCGAATATTAAATTTCCCCGTTCTCCGCCCTCTTTAAAATACAGGGCAATTGTCTCTTATCCCACCCCCCCCCACCACCGTCTCGCCGCTATCCGTAACTCTGAAGACCGAAGAAGATCAATAGCAAAAATATCCCTGGCGTGCATTAAGCCGTCCTCCGTAATGTCGTCATGTTTGTCCACCGTCCACGCTTTTACTTGCTGAAACCTCCTGAGAAATCGAGTAATGGATTAGCTTTGTCACGAAATTCTTTTGAATGTTTTTTTTGCTGCGTGTGTGTGCGACAGACTGATTTTATATATTTAATTGATCGAATGTTTCGTATTGCTCTAAAAGCCTAAAGGTGGAGCACTGCAATTCAGGATCTGTGTTTATGCTGCAGGGCGAATCCGATGAGCTATAAAGCTCTTTTTTTCACAGATGTCCAGTAGGGCCACGGGATTTAGAACGTTACGACAGCGAATAGTAACAAAAAAGACTCGATAGCTTTGCAAAGTGCAAGAAAGGTAAAGACATCACCTAAATCTCGACTTGAAGCTTTCGTGACTGCAGGAATTCATATTCTTGGGTCTTTCGGTAAAGTCACGTAGATAGGTTCTTTGACTTTACCGAAAGAACCAAGAATACATCACCTAAACACGTACAAATACAACAATAAACCATCCGCATCCTACGAGGCAAATCCCACTGGGGTACTAACTTTCTTTTAAGAAGCGACCTGCCCATCACAAATAACAACAATTGATTAAGCAGCCACAGGGAGTTGACTCAACGTTTATTCAGTCCCATGCGCGGTACGGAACATCGCCACTGGGGAGACAAAGGCGGCCGGGCGTGGTTCTGGCCACCCACCCCCTCACACACCCACACCACACACACGCGTAGTGGTGGTGAGAGTGAACACAATGGGGTTCCGCAAAGTGGAACGGCACTGGCTGGCTCTCGTCTCACTGAGTCTGCTTTGGGTCCGACCTCGTTCGTCTGTTCCAATCAGCTCTGCTGAGCTAACGACGGTCGACTGCCTCTGAGCAGCGCGGTGCGCACGTGTGTCCGTGTGTCCGTGTGTCTGTGTGTGTGTCTTTGTGTGTGTGTGTGTCCGTGTGTGTGTGTGTCTTTGTGTGTGTGTGTCTGTGTCTGGGGAGCGGTGGTGTAGCGATTAGCGCTCTGCGCTACGAACCTGGCGACCCGGGTTCGATTCACGCTCACAAACACCGGTGACGATTATCTTAAACCGGTACTGGGCCTCCCTCTAGGTCGACTCAGCCTCAAATGAGTACCGGGTGCGGTGTGCGAACATCGGCACTGTAGAGATTAAGGCGGTCGGGCGTGGTGCTGGCCACCCACCCCCTCGTGTGCCATGCTGGCCTTGATAGGTGCTCGCTAACAGCACTTGCCCCAACAGTCTGTTGAGGCTATACGGGGGACCTGTGTCGTTGTCTTTGTGGCGGTTAGTGCGCCAAGCTACGAACGCGGCGACGCGGGTTCGATTCACGCTCACGGCCAGCAACACCCGGTGACGATTCTCTGAATCGGTCCTGGGCCTCCCCTAGGTCGACTCAGCCTCAAAATCAAGTTCCTAGTGCGGTGTGTAAACATCGGCACTGGGGGAGACAAACGCGGCCGGGTGTGCTACTGGCCACCCACCCCCACCCCCTCGCGTGCCGTGCCGCGCCCTCGTAGGGGCTACTCGCGAACAGCGCTCGCCGTGAAGGCGACACTGGGTTGGAGTCTTCGCGTTCGGGGAAGGCCGCGCTTGACGCAAATCTCTCTCAAACTCCGTCCGAGATCTCTTACAACACCACAGCCCCCCCCCCCGACTCCCCCTCCCTCGCCACCCCCCCCCCGACTCCCTCTCCCTCGCCACCCCCCCCCCCGACTCCCCCTCCCTCGCCATCCCCCACGACTCCCCCTCCCTCGCCACCCCCCCCCCGACTCCCCCTCCCTCGCCACCCCCCCCCCCCGACTCCCCCTCCCTCGCCATCCCCCACGACTCCCCCTCCCTCGCCACCCCCCCCCGACTCCCCCTCCCTCGCCACCCCCCCACGACTCCCCCTCCCTCGCCACCCCCCCCCGACTCCCCCTCCCTCGCCACCCCCCCACGACTCCCCCTCCCTCGCCACCCCCCCCCCCCGACTCCCCCTCCCTCGCCACCCCCCCCCCCCACGACTCCCCCTCCCTCGCCACCCCCCACCCGACTCCCCCTCCCTCGCCACCCCCCCCCCGACTCCCCCTCCCTCGCCACTGAGAGAGAGAGGACGACTCTGAGAGAGAGAGAGGGGATGACTCACAGAGAGGAGACAACTCTGACAGAGAGAGAGGACGACTCTGAGAGAGAGAGGACGACTCACAGAGAGGAGACAACTCTGAGAGAGAGAGAGAGAGGATGACTCTGAGAGAGAGAGAGGACAACTCTGAGAGAGAGAGAGGACGACTCTCGGAGAGAGAGGACGACTCTGAGAGAGAGAGGGCGACTCTGAGAGAGAGAGGGCGACTCTGAGAGAGAGAGGACGACTCAGAGAGAGGACGACTCTGAGAGAGAGAGGACGACTCTCGGAGAGAGAGAGAGAGGACGACTCTGAGAGAGAGAGGACGACTCTGAGAGAGAGAGGACGACTCTGAGAGAGAGAGGACGACTCTGAGAGAGAGAGGACGACTCTGAGAGAGAGAGGAACCACAGACGAGGAGTGTTGGAGGCAGCGGCAGCCACGTGGTGGTGACGAGGTGGCGCCACCAACAATTGCCCGAGCTCTGCGCTCCTCTCTCTCTACACATATAAAGATGTTTTCCAGCCAATTCGGTCGGGCAGTTTATTTCGGGAGGGCCCCAATGAGCCGAGCGGCTCTCATTACGAGTACGGTACATTTAATTAAAGCGTGTTTTTAAAAAAAAGTTTAATTTTTTTTAAAACTTATTTTAGTAATGGAAGACCCGGTCAAACGGGCTGAGTGAACGGGTGTTTACACGTGACCCCAGGGCTCAGATGTCTCTTATCGAGGAGCTATAAACCATCGTCACGTGAACTCCTTTGGTCATCTTCGTGGCCATCCACCCCCTCTTGCGCCATGCAGGCCTTCATGGGTGCTACTCGCTAACAGCACTTGCCCCAGCAGTCTAAGGTTACACGGGGGATCTTTGTCTTTATCGGTGGCTATGTACCACGCGGCTGCCCGTAATCATCCAGCACTGTGCCAGCAGCAGCAGCGAAGGTTCGCGGATCATCGCACAAAAGTCGCGAAACGTATCCACTACTATGTCCGACGTTTCGCTCCCACGCGCTTAGTCGACAACGCTCCCTCTCTCCCCTCGGCTGAGCTCCCTGGCAGTCGCCAGCCAACGCTGCTGTTGTTTGTTTGTTGTTGTTGGTATTGTTGTTGTTTTTTCGCATCATCTACTCACTCAGACTCGTCCCCTCCTGCTCCCCTTCGTCTCTATCCCAGGGCGATCCCCGCGGGTGCCTGGAGGAGCTAGCGAGGAGCTACGCGGAGTATTTCCACGTCCACTCCGCCGACGTCGCCCAGCGCCTGGAGGAGCTGCGCGCCCGGAGCCTCGCTCGCGACTCGGAGCTCGAGGTGACAGGCGCCCCAAAGGTCACCCCAAAGGTCACCGTGAAAGGTCGCCGCTGGGTCACCCAAAGGTCGCTACGAGGTCGCCACTACGTGGTCTCTAGGTCACCCCCAAGGTCGCCCCTAGATCACCCCAAGGTCACCTCTAGGTCACCCTAAGGTCAACTCTAAGTCGCACCTAGGTCACCTCTAGATCATCCCAAGGTCGCCCCTAGGTGACCCCAAGGTCACCGCCAAGGTCGCCACTAGGCCACCCTAAGGTCAACTCTAGGTCCCCTCTATATCAACCCAAGGTCGCCCCTAGGTCACCCCAAGGTCACTGGCAAGGTCGCCACTAGGTCACCCCGAGGTCGCCACTCGGTCGTCTCTAGGTCGTCTCTAGGTCACCATAAGGTCACCCTAAGGTCAACTATAGGTCGCTCCTAGGTCACCTCAACATCACCCCAAGGTCACCCCAAGGTCTCCCCAAGGTCGCCACTAGGTCACTCCTAGATCTTCTCTAGGTCACATCAAGGTCACCCCAAGGCCGCCACTAGGTCACCCCTAGATCACTCCTTAGTCGTCTCTAAGTTGTCTCAACGTCACCCCAAGGTCATCCCAGAGTCGCCACTAGGTCACCCCGAGGTCACCCCTAGATCGCTCCTTCGAAACTTTATCTGGGTGCAACACTGCCCCCCGCTATCCCCAACGACCCGCGTCTCAATAAATGACCTGGGCTGCAATTGTCCCGCTCATTCAGGAGGTTCATGGTGGCGGTGTATGAGACATCGAGTCTGCCCAGGGTGGCCACACAGTGGGTCTCAAGCAAAATCGGAACGTGGAATTTTAATTTCGCTGCTTGAGGGCTGCCAATGGAAACGAAGCAACGTCCCGGGCTTGTGCGAGTGGAGGTAATCGCCCTCAGTCTTTGTTTGAGAGGCAAAGCTGGTACTGCTAAAAAAAATGTTGTTTATGATGAAGTCAAAAGATATAGAGAGGGGACGACTCAGAGAGAGAGAGAGAGGACGACTCAGAGAGAGAGAGAGGACGACTCAGAGAGAGAGGACGACTCAGAGAGAGGACGACTCAGAGAGAGAGGACGACTCAGAGAGAGAGAAAGAGAGGACGACTCAAAGAGAGAGAGGACGACTCAGAGAGAGAGGACGACTCAGAGAGAGAGAGAGGACGATTCAGAGAGAGAGAACGACTCAGAGAGAGAGAGGACGATTCAGAGGGAGAGAGGACGACTCAGAGAGAGAGAACGACTCAGAGAGAGAGAGAGGACGACTCAGAGAAAGATAGGACGACTCAGAGAGAGAGGACGACTCAAAGAGAGAGAGGGGGGACGACTCAGAGAGAGAGGACGACTCAGAGAGAGAGGACGACTCAAAGAGAGAGGACGACTCAGAGAGAGAGGGCGACTCAGAGAGAGAGGACGACTTAGAGAGAGCGAGGACGATTTAGAGAGAGGACGACTTAGAGAGAGAGAGAGGAACCACAGACGAGGAGTGAGGGAGGCAGCGGCAGCCACGTGGTGGTGACGAGGTGGCGCCACCAACAATTGCCCGAGCTCTGCGCTCCTCTCTCTCTACACATATAAAGATGTTTTCCAGCCAATTCGGTCGGGCAGTTTATTTCGGGCGGGTCCCAATGAGCCGAGCGGCTCTCATTACGAGTACGGTACATTTCATTAAAGCGTGTTGTTGAAAAAAAGATTTTAAAAATATATTACTTATTTTTTTAATGGAAGACCCGGCCAAACGGGCTGAGTGAACAAGTGTTTACACGTGACCCCAGCGTTCAGATGTCTCTTATCGAGGAGCTATAAACCATCGTCACGTGAACTCCTTTGGTCATCTTCGCGGCAGCAGCAGCGGCTTTTGGCTCAGCCATGGAACAAAAGACGGTGGTCACCGCATCGTCACGGCACGGCGCTTTCAGACGCGCTGCTTCTGCGGCCGTCTGGAACGCTCTTCCCTTCCAGATGTCAGGAAGCCACCGGGAGCTGTGATGGCCTTTAAAATCATCGTCATCGAGATTGACAAACTCATTTCTTTAGAACAGCTTCTTTTTGTTGTTGTGTTTAGTTTGTTGTCCTTCCACCGCGCACTCCAATCAACACGGTTGGCTACGTACGGTGCGAAAGAAGTTCAACATACGCACACGTGCGTCCGTGCCTGCACCAGGAGGCTCCCGCAGGCCACAACAGCTGTTGTTCGTGTCCCGCAGGAGGGGCCGAGGGGCTGCTGTGAACAAGGAGTCGACGTTTACCGCACACAGATGGAGGTAACCGGTTTATTATTCTGCTCCGTCGCCTTCCGCGACTCGGCTCGCCAGGCTCGCCAGGCTCGTCGTCGTCGCCGTGATGGAAATTCAGAATCAGGATCTGTATGTAATAGCGCAGGCGGAATCCGATGAGCTATGAAGCTCTTTTTCACAGATGCCCAGTAAGGGGCACGGGGTCAGAATGTTACGATGGCGGGGGGGTTCCAGATGTTTGGGGGGCTCCGCTCGAGAAGACTTCATCACCGCCCCACCCACCCACCCACCACCGTCCCCCAGGGTCGGCTGAACAATCTTTGGGGCTTTCACGCGGCTCTAACGAGCTCGACGCGAAGTGGAGGTTGGCACGAGTTGGCGTGGGCCCTGCTACGGACAGCGACGCGCATTCGAATCCAGGTTTTCAGCCGCTTCCGTCCGATTTCAACCAAAGTTCTACCCGGAGCGCGTTCGCGATAGCCCTGCGTCCACGGTGGCTAGGAGATGTTAACTACCTCGCCTGGTATGCAGGAGGTCGTGGGTTGGATCCAGACCCTGACGCCTGCTGCTGCTGCTGTATATTTGGAGTTTGCGCGTCTCTCTTTCTCCCCGTGGTGAGATGTTAACTACCTCGCCTGGTATACATGAGGTCGTGGGTTCGATCTAGACCCTGATGCCTGCTGTATATTTAGAGTTTGCGCGTGCCTCTCTCTCCCCGTGGCGAGATGTTAACTACCTCGCCTGGTACACAGGATGTCATGGGTTAGATCCCCGACACTGACGCCTGCTGTATATTTGGAGTTTGCGTGTTCTCTGTCTTTCTCTCCCCGTGGTCGCGTGGATTTTACTCCGGGCGCTCCGGATTTCCCCTCCACGTGTAGAATCGACATGGCCACGCGTTCAGAGTGATTTGTCTGCTGCTATAAATGTCCACGTGATGGTGATGATGGTGGTGGTGGTAAGCCGCCACTTTCGTTGAGCTCTCGTGACGTGTGTGGCCAGGACGCTTCTGAAAGAAAGAGCCACACAGCTCAGTGGGACCTTAATTGGTAATACGAACAAAAATGTTAAAAAAAATTGTTGAGTGCTCAATTGTAATGAGCATCAGGGAACGGCTCCGGCTCGTCTCGGATTGATGGGGGGTGGTGGGGGCGGGGTGGGGGGGGGGGCGGGGTGGGGTGGGGGATGGTGGGGGCGGGGTGGGGGCGAGGTGGGGTTGGGGATGGTGGGGGCGGGGTGGGGGGGATGTTGGGGGAGGGGTGGGGGCGGGGTGGGGGGTTGGTGGGGGCGGGGTGGGGGGGATGTTGGGGGGGGGTGGGGGCGGGGTGGGGGGGATGGTGGGGGCGGGATGGGAGGATGGTGGGGGATGGTGGGGGCGGGGTGGGGGCGAGGTGGGGTTGGGGATGCTGGGGGGGGTGGAGGGGGTGGGGGATGGTGGGGGCGAGGTGCGAGTCACCGCTATAAACTCGGCTGGACCAAAGCGACGTTTTATTCGGCGGTACGGGGCCCAGCCCAGCGCCCACCTCCCCCTCCCTCCCTCCCTCCCCCCCCAGATGAAGGCCTCGATGTTCGGGGGGGAGTGGTCGCGTGTGTGCGACAAGAGCGAGGGGGGGATACCTGGCAGGGGGAAGGCGGCGACGTGCGAGCTGGTCGAGCGAGTCGCTCGCGGTGACCCCAACCTACCCCCACCCCCCGGTGGTTTGCAGGAGTCGCTGGGATTTAGGAGCGCGGCATCAACCCCGGAGATGGAGCGCAAGTGAGTTGCCCTCTCACTCCCTCTCTCACTCCCTCTCCGTCCCACTCTCTGTCTCTCCCCCGTCCTCTCCCCCTCTCTCTCTCTTCCCCCATGTCTCTCTCTCTCTCCCTGTCTCCATCCTTCTCACCCCCCCTCCATGCCCCTCTCTCTCTCTCACACACACCATTAATTTTAACAAGCTGTCAAGCCAGTCTATTAAAGGAGCATCGCGCGCTTTTGCTCGAAGATTCGAGTGTAAAGAAAAAAGGGAAAACGCGCGGACTATTTCAATTATAAAATAAATATATTTTTTCTTACAATTTTTATTTTATTTGACCAGACAAGGCCCCACCCAGCTCTGCAGCTCTTCGTCAGAGGCGACCCTGGTTATGACAAATGATCGCTCAACCAAGCGGCTTATCTTCATCATCATCATCACCACCACCACGTGGAAACGTATAGCAGCACAAAATACTCGAACCGCTTGATGCCGATTCTAAATGTGGAGGGGGGGAAAATCCGGAGGACCCGGAGAAAAATCCACGCGACTACGGAGAGAGAGAGACTTTGACCTTTAAACAACTTTTATTGCCGCCAGCAGCAACAGCACTCGAGGCGATTCTAATATGAAACACACAAAGTCACCAGCAACACAAATACACAAATTCACCAGCAACACAAATACACAAAGTCACCAGCAACACAAATACACAGTCACCAGCAACACAAATAATCGCTATAAATCCACGCGTTGTGGCCCTAAATGCACCGCGCACAACACGAAAGAAAAGTCACGTGGTGGTGGTGGTTAACGCGCACGCCACGTTGACGAGCGAGCGCTTCAGAAGGTGAACACGTGGGGGGTGCCGTCCACGCTGGTACAGAGAGGGGCTTGTCCGGCTCCCCAGCGCTCGAAGAAGACGCGCTGCACATCACCGACATGTGTGTGGTACGTGGCGTGCTCCAGTCAGTGAGAGAGACGCACAAGAACTCCAAATATACAGCAGCAGGCGTCAGAGTCGGGATCGAACCCACATCCTCCTGCATTCCAGGCGAGGTAGTTAACATCTCCTAGCCACCGTGATGATGATGAGAGAGAGACACACACAAACTCCAAATATACAGCAGCAGGCGTCAGAGCAGGGATCGAACCCACGGCCTCCTGTGTAACAGGAGAGGTAGTTAACATCTCGGCGGGTCCACGCGTTCCAAACGCGCGTGGGCTCGGGGCTTGAACCCCGAACTTCTGCACCGGTGCGAGGGAAAGGGAAAATAAACTCACGCACGAACCCTTTGGCCGTGTCACCCAAACATCAAAGAGACGACTTTACACTGCCCGCTCCCCCTACCCCCCCCCCCCCTCCTCGGGGAATCTCGCCCAGGCGCCTAGGCCGAGAGGCCTCTGCGGCGAGCGCTGCCGCGGTCGTCTCGAGCGGGGGCCATTCGTGGTTTGTCCTTTTGAAAGGCGACGGCCCGTGTGGTTGCCGCGGCACGCACGGTCATCAAAGAAGGCAGCGGTAGCGGTGGCTCTGGCGTCAGCTGCCCTTCCAAGTTCGGTCGAGGATGAACGTAAAATCTTTACGGTGGCGAAGTGGGCGTTGCGCCTTTCCCGTCAGCACGGATCGTTTATTTGTTCTAGGACGGCGCGTAACGTCTAAAGCAATCGCCGTCGATGGTGTGGGGTTATTTTTTTTCGTTCTCTCTCTCTCTCTCTCCCTTGTTCACCTTGTCGTAGAGGTGGCCGCTGGGAAAGTGGCCACGCTGTGCGAGCCCGATCGGCTACGTACGGTGCGAAAGAAGTTCAACACACACACACACATGCATACACCGCGCCTCCGATTAGCACGGTTGGCTACGTACGGTGCGAAAGAAGTTCAACATGCGTACGCGTACGCGGGTGTGAACTAAACTATGGAACCGCACCTCCAACGAATTAAACTAAACTATTACTCAACTAATTTTTTTGGTATTATTCTACCAGGTAGTTTGAGGTGGTCGGGGGGGGGGGGGGCGGGGGGTTTGCCCCGGGCCCCCGCACGCCCTCCACTCCCCCACCTAAGGATGGCCCTGATGCTGATTGTGAAATTGTACCAGCAAGTCGGCGAGAGGGTAGACGCGTGCGGTGGTACTTTGGACGTCACGGAACGGCAACGATGTCCGGCGTGTTATGTACTACGTGCGCTGAACTTCTTTCGCACCGTCCGCAGGCCACCGTGTTGTGCAAATCGGAGATGTTGAATAATAACAGCAGCAGCAGCAAAATCACAGTGCATTGGGTAGAGTCACACGGAAAGAGATAGCAGAGAGCGGAATTCCCTGGCAGGGTCTGGTTCCCCCACGAATGCTGAATGAGGATGAGCTATCGACCGTCGGCCTTGTATTCTTCTTCTGAGTTTTGCAAGAAGCGACTTCCTTTGCCTGTCGTGCGCGTATATATACGGGGCGCTTCAAAAAAATGTGAACACTTCAGCGAATACCACGAGAAATGTGCTGCCTTGGGGCTCTGCAGACGACCTGGAGAAGATTCCAGGCACGTGCTGACAACGATGGCGGATACCTTTGACTTTTCGAAGCTATCAACATTACATTTGTCACCGTGTTACAGTGCCGTTATCCGTTCTTTTTCCCTTAAAAACCACAGTGCCATGTAAATGTTAACATTTTCTTAAAGCACCCTGCGTATATATAGAGACACGTATATATATTTATTTTTTTCCCCGCTCCCCGCTAAATACACGCGGGCGTTTTGACCTACAACCGACTTTGATCTTTTTTCCCCCACCGCGCTAATCGGAGAGCGCGGGGAACGTTTCCTCACCTTTCCCTCTGGCCAGGTGCGGCCTTCAGAAGTTCGCCTCGCAAGAGGAGTCTGCGGGTGAGCGAACGGGAGGGCGAGAGGACGAACGGGAGGGCGAGAGGACGAACGGGAGAGCGAGCGAGAGAGCGAGCGAGCTTGCGGCTATTTTTGGAATTTCCAGCGGCCTGGCGCGGGGAGATGAGTGACACTGCGCTCTCGTTTGAGCGCAGAGGGCTCCGTGACCCCTTGACCCTGGCAGCTGTAATGAGAATCGGCACAGATGTCGCAGACTGCCGGAAGAGCCGTTAGATATTAAAACATTTTTTTTTTCACTGTTAAATGTTTTGGGTCTTTCCTCCCTCCCCGCTGTCCCGGGTTTTATCCCGACTTGCGCGCTTTTAATATATTGATGAAACTCCACTCGTCTCCATGGACAGCGTTCTTCATTGTAAGGCCCAGTGGGGCCACTCGCGGCCACTGTTGGCCTTTAGTGCGGCCCCTGACGTTCGGCCCCCTGACAATCACACAACAAGTGAGAACACCGCCCCATCATCATCGTCGTGTCGCTATCAAACCCCCAATGGTTTCAAACGTGTGGCGGCCCTCTACACACTGACGATGTCTCATCGGCGGAAGTGCTCCCCACCCCAACCCCCTTCTGAAAACGAGTGGTGCCATCTTGCCTGGTGCCATCTCGCCTGCACCCTTAATTGGTGTTCACTAACAGCACTTGCCCCAATAGTCAGTGGAGGCTATACAGGGGGTTGCTTTAGTTTAAGAGGCGGTAATGTCATGGGTGGAGGTCTTGACCCACCCACTCACCCACCCGCCCACTCATCCACTCGCCCACCCACTCACCCGCCCACTCACCTACCAACCCACTCGCCCGCCCACCTACTCATCTACTTGTCTACCCACTCCCCCACCCGCCAACTCACTCGCCCACCCATCCGCTCACCCACTCACCTACTCACCCACCCACTCACCTACCACCCACTCACCTACCACCCACTCACCGACTCACTCGCCCACCCATCCACTCACCCACCCGCCGACTCACCCACTCACCTACCCACTCACCCAAACACCTACCCAAACACTCGCCCATCCGCCCACTCACCCACTCACCGTCCACTCACCCACCCACTCACCCACCCACCCACACACTCACCCGCCCACTCACTCTCCACTCACCTACCCACCAACTCACCCACTCGTTCACCCACTCACCCACCCACCAACCCACTCGCCCACCCGCCTACTCCCCACTTACCTACCCACCCACTCACCCACTCGCCCACTCGTTCACCCACTCACCCACCCACCCACCCACTCGGCCACCCGCCCACTCACCCACTCCCCCACTCACCCACCCACTCGCCCACTCGTTCACCCACCCACGAACCCACTCGCCCACCCACCCACGAACCCACTCGCCCACCCACCCACGAACCTAACCACCCACTCACTCACTCACCCTCCCTCCCAGAAGCGAAGTCGGAAGTTAAGAAGAAGGGGAAGTCGTTCTGGCAGACGCTGCAGCGCACCCCGAATCGCACCCCGAACCGCACCCCAACGCGGACTCCGAGCAAGAGCCCCAGGAACAAACCGGCCCGCCTCGACTCCCCACACAAAGGTGCCGCGTCCACCTCCGATTGTCCACGCTCACCCACTCGCTCACCCGCCCGCCCGCCCGCCTCGCTCACTCACCCCCCATGCTCACCCGCTCGCTTACTTGTGCACTCGCCCCCACGCTCACCCACTCACGAGCCCACCCACCAGCTGATCGCTCACCTACTCACCCAATCACTCACTAGCCCACCCACCAGCTCACTCGCCCACTCAATCACCTACTCACCCAATCACTCACTGGCCCACCAACCAGCTGATCGCTCACCCACTCACTCACCTACTCACCCAATCACTCACTGGCCCACCCACCAGCTGATCGCTCACTCACTCGCCCACTCATTCACCTACTCACCCAATCATTCACTAGCCCACCCACCAGCTGATCGCTCACCCACTCGCTCACCTACTCACCCAATCACTCACTGGCCCACCCACCAGCTGATCGCTCTCTCACTCGTGTGCCACAGTTGCTGGCCTTCATGGGTGCTACTCACTGACAGCACTTGCCCCGTAAGTCTGTGAAGGCTACACGGTGGGGAGGGGGGAATATTTGTCTTTGCCTTCGCGCGTCTGTGCAGCGTGCGGGGCTGTGAACTTCGTTGCCAGTGACATCACAATGAGCGATGACGATCGCATCGAGCTGATGACCATGGTGAAGGATCGACGAATGACCATCGACCAGGCACTCGCTCGGGTGAGTCCACCACCATCGTCACCACCACCAATGATAATATCACCATCAGCACGACACCATCACCATCGCCCTGAACATCACCACCACCACCATCATTAACATCATTACCATTATCATCACCGTTAACATGACCATCAACACGACCATCATCCTCATCACCGCCACCGATACTATCATCATCAGTACTACCGTCATCATCATCATCACCACCGTCAATATCATCATCACAATAACCTCCCATCATCGCTATCGACGTCACTCCCATCATACTTGTTACATCATCGTCATTGCTATCGACGACGATCACGACGACGACGCTACATCACCTCTGCCCCCTCCCTGCGCATGCTCTCTCCACAGCTGGAGGAGTACGAGACCCTACACCGCCAATGCGGTGGCGCGGAGGGAGCGAGAAGACGCCAGTCGCTCGACGCGGCCTGCCCGCAGCCCCGCGACTCCCCGTGCCACGTGAGAGCCCCGTGCCGCGTGAGTGTCACGTGAGAGTCACGTGAGCGTCACGTGAGAGCCCCGTGCCGCGTGAGTGTCACGTGAGAGCCCCGTGTCACGTGTCACGTGAGAGCCCCGTGTCGCGTGAGTGTCACGTGAGAGCTCCGTGTCGCGTGAGTGTCACGTGAGTGTCACGTGAGAGCTCCGTGTCGCGTGAGTGTCACGTGAGTGTCACGTGAGAGCCCCGTGTCGCGTGAGTGTCACGTGAGTGTCACGTGAGAGCCCCGTGTCGCGTGAGTGTCACGTGAGAGCTCCGTGTCACGTGAGTGTCACGTGAGAGCCCCGTGTCGCGTGAGTGTCACGTGAGAGCCCCGTGTCGCGTGTCACGTGAGAGCTCCGTGTCACGTGAGTGTCACGTGAGTGTCACGTGAGAGCCCCATGTCGCGTGAGTGTCACGTGAGAGCCTCGTGTCGCGTGTCACGTGAGAGCTCCGTGTCACGTGAGTGTCACGTGAGAGCTCCGTGTCACGTGAGTGTCACGTGAGAGCCCCGTTTCGCGTGAGTGTCACGTGAGAGCTCCGTGTCACGTGAGTGTCACGTGAGAGCCCCATGTCGCGTGAGTGTCACGTGAGAGCCTCGTGTCGCGTGTCACGTGAGAGCCCCGTTTCGCGTGAGTGTCACGTGTCTCGTGAGTGTCACGTAAGAGCCCCGTGTCGCGTGTCACGTGAGAGCCACATAACTCACTAATAATTCTTGAAGCATAACTCACTAATATATATGTGCATAAACAACTTGAAATTAATTATGTAATTAATGTACAGCGTCATGGGATGAATGAAGTTAAATGAAAGTATTATTACACTATTTCCTTATTCCTAGTGTTAGCTGCCTTGGCAAAGAGCACACTTTGATTTCTTCCCAATGGCCGCGCTACCGTCACTCTGCCGTCGCTTCAATGTGGAACGGAGGGGCCTAAAGAAGGAGCCTAAGAACGTGCCGAGGCCCTGACTAGCTCCTGGGGCAACCCGGCCCTGTCCACAGTGCCGGATGGAGCTGGTGCGGGGCCTGGAGCATTTGCTGTTATAAAGGGGCACTACTTTTTTTTTAAACACGTAAATATTAAAACGCAATTTTTAACTTGCATAGTAAAGCCAGATAATACGAAAAATCTCTAACCTTAAACACCCAGTCGTTCGTAAAAGTTGAAGGCAGTATAGTACTATAGTAATAGAGCAAGTGCAGTATCACTGAAGCGGAATTAATAGCTTGAACGCGTTTAGCACGGGGCCTTTTAAAGTGCGGGGCCCGTAGCTACTGCACATGTAGTAGCTACTACACGTGTAGTAGCTACTACATATGTAGTAGCTACATATGTAGTAGCTACTACCCGTGTAGCTACTACACGTGCAGCTACTACACACGCAGCTACTACACGCGCAGCTACTACACAAGTAGCTACACGTGTAGCTACTACACGTGTAGATACTGCACGTGTAGCTACTACACGTGTAGCTACTACACGTGTAGCTACTACACATGTAGCTACTACATATGTAGCTACTACACATGTAGCTACTACTACATATGTAGCTACTACACATGTAGCTACTACACATGGAGCTACTACACATGGAGCTACTACACGTGCAGCTACTACACGTGTAGCTGCTACACATATGTAGCTACTACATGTGTAGCTACTACACGTGTAGCTACTACACGTGTAGCAGCTACTACACGTGTAGCTACTACACGTGTAGCTACTTGTGCTACTAGGATCATCCGGCACTGCCTATGCGGAGAGGTCACCGTCCACCTCTAAGCACGCGTTCACAGTGGCCGTGTTGGAGTCGCTCAGCCGACAGCGATGCCGTTCTTGGCTTGTTTATCTGTGTGTGTCTGTGTAAGGTTGCGGTGTGTAAACGTCGCTCACTGAGGAGACAAAGGCGGCCGGGCGTGGTGTCGGCCACCCAACCCCCTCGTGTGCCGTTTGGGGCCTTCGACCGCGCCGCGAACCGAACGACCCCAGTTCGACAACGCGCGTTGGCTGACGGACCGCTGCGTTGCCCCCCCGGTGCTGTGGGTTTCGTGCAGGCGAGCGGGGCCTGCGAGTGCATGGTGGGGGGTCCCGCAGTGACGGCGGCCGAGCGGTTCGTGCGGCTGCACAAGGCGACGGTGGCGGCGGGGGGGACTCCGCACGGAGCCCCGCACCGGCAGCTCGTCAAGGTGGAGGAGGGGACACGCGGCGTCTCCTCCACCTCCTGCTATACGGACGGTACGGGCCGGGCGGGGACTGCCGTGGTGCTGGTGGCGGTGGTGGTGGTAGTGGTGGTGGTAGTGATGGTAGTGGTAGTCATGGTGGTGGTAGTAATGGTGGTGGTAGTGATGGTAGTGGTAGTGATGGTGGTGGTAGTTATGATGGTGGTAATGATAGTGGTGGTGATGATGGTGGTGGTAGTGACGGAGGTGGTGGTAGTGATGGTGGTGGTAGTGGTGGTGATAGTCATGGTGGTGGTAGTAATGGTGGTGGTAGTGATGGTAGTGGTAGTGGTGGTGGTAGTGATGGTGGTGGTAGTAATGGTGGTGGTAGTGATGGTGGTGGTAGTGATGGTGGTGGTAGTTATGATGGTGGTAATGATAGTGGTGGTGATGATGGTGGTGGTAGTGACGGTGGTGGTGGTAGTGATGGTGGTAGTGGTGATGGTCTATGGGCAGCGCTGAGTCTATGAACGATAGAGAAGAGGTGAAGCTCTCAGGGAGGGACGGTAGTGGGTTAAGGAGGGGGGACTGCCATCATTTGCCTTGCGCCGATGTGGCACTCAGGTTTCGCTGGGGAAGACAATTTAGTGGGGTCACGCTGGGGTAGGCAGCTTTGTGGGGTCTCGCTGGGGAAGACAGTTTAGTGGGGTCTCGCTGGGGCAGACACAGCTTAGTGGGGTCTCGCTGGAGAAGACCGTTTAGTGGGGTCTCGCTGGGGCAGACACAGCTTAGTGGGGTCTCGCTGGGGAAGACAGCTTAGTGGGGTCTCGCTGGGGTAGGCAGCTTAGTGGGGTCTCGCTGGGGTAGGCAGTTTAGTGGGGTCTCACTGGGGAAGACAGTTTAGTGGGGTCTCGCTGGGGAAGACAGCTTAGTGGGGTCTCGCCTGGGAAGACAACTTAGTGGGGTCTCGCTGGGGAAGAGAGCTTAGTGGGGTCTCGCTGGGGTAGGCAGTTTAGTGGGGTCTCACTGGGGAAGACAGTTTAGTGGGGTCTCGCTGGGGTAGGCAGCTTAGTGGGGTCTCGCCTGGGAAGACAACTTAGTGGGATCTCGCTGGGGAAGACAGTTTAGTGGAGTCTCGCTAGGGAAGCCAGCTTAGTGGGGTCTCGCTGGGGTAGGCAGCTTAGTGGGGTCTCGCTGGGGAAGACAGCTTAGTGGGGTCTCGCTGGGGAAGACAGCTTAGTGGGGTCTCGCTGGGGAAGACAGCTTAGTGGGGTCTCACTGGGGTAGGCAGCTTAGTGGGGTCTCGCTGGGGAAGACAGCTTAGTGGGGTCTCGCTGGGGAAGACAGCTTAGTGGGGTCTCGCTGGGGAAGACAGCTTAGTGGGGTCTCGCTGGGGAAGACAGCTTATTGGGGTCTCGCTGGGGTAGGCAGCTTAGTGGGGTCTCGCTGGGGAATACAGCTTAGTGGGGTCTCGCTAGGGCAGACACAGCTTAGTGGGGTCTCGCTGGGGAAGACAGTTTAGGTGGGTCTCACTGGAGAAGACAGCTTAGGTGGGTGGGTTGGGGGGGGGTCCCACTTCCCCAGGCTGAGCATCCTTTCCGACTCGTTTCGCTTCATTGATTTTTGTCCGCTCGCTTTTCACTAAACCGACGAAAACTAAACTTTTAATTTAAAGAATATATTTTTTGAGCCTACCGAGCTATGTAGCTCTTTTTTTCGAAAATCGACCTGGCCACACGCGATCCCTCAAAGAAATGGGCCTCATCATCATCATCGTCTTCATCGTGTGGACATTCACAGAAGCGGCCAAAGCGCCCCACGTGTCTCTCGTGCCCCTCTTTCCTCCACGTGCTCTGCAGTCTACGCCTGGGAGTGCCGCCTCAGGACCCCGGGGCTGCCCTCGGCGCTGCCTGAATACGAGGAGCCACCCCAGCAGGCCGCTTTTGCCACCCCCGCCTCCTCCTCTTGTCGCCTGGACCAGCCGGCGTCTCTCCTCCCGTCCTCCCCGCACGTCCGCTCGCTCTGCTCCACGCCCGAGATCCGGCGAGGTCGCGACCCCCGTAGACCCCTCGCCACCTCGCTGGACGCCCACTACGCCCAGAAGGACCCCGGTTCCGCGCGCGGGGACAGGCACCGAGCGGGACGCCTATGTGGGGGCGCGTCCGGGGTCCTCGAGTCGCCCGGCCACGTGGTGAGAGTCACATCCGGAGGTTTGAAAACCTCGTGCTTTGAGACGTTTAATGCTTATTCATATGCTTAGCTCTTTCGGTAAAGTCACGTTGAAGGGAAACAATAAAATAATAAAAAATATATAAAGCAATACAAAATTCTCACGACGTTTCGACCATAACACAAACGGTCGAAACGTCGTGAGAATTTTTTATTGTTTTATATATATTTTATTATTTTATTGTTTCCCTTCAACGTGACTTTACCGAAAGAGCTAAGAATATGAATTACTGCAGTCACGAAAGCTTTAAATCAACGTTTAATGCTGCTGATTGTAGTTGTTGTTGTGTTTAGTTTGTTGTTGTTATTGTGTTTAGTTTGTTTTTTGAGTTTCGTTTGTTGTGTTTAGTTTGTCTTTACTTTGTTGTGTTTTGTTGTTTTTAGTTTGTTGTGTTAAGTTTATTGTTGTGTTAAGTTTATTGTTGTGCTTAGATTGTCGTTTTTAGTTTATTGTTGCGTTTAGTTTGTTGTTGTCCTTTCCCCCGCACCTCCGATTAACACGGTTGGCTACGTGCGGTGCGATAGAAGTTCATCATACTACACTTTACACTACTATGCACTACACTATGCACTGCACAACGACACACGACACCACTATACTACATTGAAAACTAATTTCTTTAGAAGTGCTGCTGCTTGTGTTTAGTTTGTTACCCTTTCCACCGCACCTCCGATTGGTTGGCTATGTACGGTAAAATTAACTAAAAACGAAACTTGAGCTATAAAGTTACGTTTCAGAAGCGACACGGCTTTTCACAAAGGATAGCTCAACGAAGTGGCTCATCATCATCAAGTGGGAAATTATATCGGCCAAATACTTTTAACGCTTGATGTTGATTCTAAATTATGTGGAGGGGAAAATAAACGGAGGATGCGGAGTAAAATCCACGCGACCACGGGGAGAGAGATGCGCAAACCTCAAATATACAGCAGGCATCATGGTCGGGATCGAACTCACGACCTCACGTATACCAGGCAAGGTAGTTAATATCTCGACACCGTGCAAAAGAAGTTTCAACACACGTACTGGCGTTCCTCGCGCAACGAGCGGGATACATTCTGCGAAAATTGCTCGGTAAGCGAAAACTCGTCGTCGTCAATTTCCCCACTGACTCGCTCTCCATGGTAAAAGCCGAGCTACCTCTCAGCCCCCAACTCCTGAACAACTTTTTTTAAATTATAGTATTATAAATAAACAACTAAGACATTCAAATGTAACACCATACATGGAGAACCACAGTGCTTAAATTTATGAATGAGCAAACGGGATGGAATACTATAAACTATAAAATTATGTTTATTCTTTTTAATTTGAAGCTTTCGTGACTGCAAGGATTCATCTTCTTTGGTTCTTTCGGTAAAGTCACGTAGAATGAGAATAAAATAATAAAATAACACAATAAAATTATCACGACGTTTTGGCCACAACGCAATGTTTATTCTATCAGATAAGGCCCACTGAGCTACATCGCTCTTTTTCAGAAGTGACCTGGCCACAAATGACAGCCCAACGAAGTGGCTTCTCATCGCAACGTGGAAATGTACCGCGGCCTAAATATTCTAAACGCGTGATGTTGATTCCAAAAGTGGAGGGAAAAACTGGAGGGACGGTATAAAATATCCACGCGGCCACGGGGAGAGAGAGAGACATGCAGACTTCCAGGCATCAGGGTCGGGTTAAAACCCCACAAAGCTCCTTTTGCCGTCCTCTGGTCTAACACTGGTGAGACTAGGCCGTAAAGAAGGCTGCCTGTTGGTGTAGGCCATTTAGTTTCAAAGAATTTTTTTTACATTATTATCAGAGCATGTTTGTTTGCATGTTCACCACAAGTACCGTGTATGGTTAATGCAACCTTGATTCCTTGCAAAAACGTTTCTTCATAATAAAGGTTTTTGGGTTAGATCGCGTTATTTATAAATGTGTCGTAACCCTCCACCACCCGACACGGCCAATCAGCAAACAAAAGTGTCACGTTGACAAAAGACAAATAGTTCACTACTTTAGCCCACAACATTTACAGTTTGAGTACGACGTTTCTCAGGTAATTACATCCATAATTACATCCAGCATCATCGGGCAATTCGCCAGAATTACATCCAGCAGAATGGCGAATTGCCCGATGATGCTGGATGTAATTACCAGCGAAACGTCACAGTACTACTCGAACTGTTAACGTTGTGGATTCACTCTTCAACACACCGGTGGGCTAAAGTAGCGAACTAATTGTCTTTGTCAACGTGACACTTTTTTTTGCTGATTGGCCATGTCGGGTGGTGGAGGGTTACGACACATTTATAAATAACGCGATCTAACCCAAAAACCTTTATTATAAATAATATTGGTCGCGAAAGCCTACGTGTTAAACTGAAAAAAACTTTTCTATTTGCTGTTTGAACATCTTAACAATTGTTTTATTGCCAGAAAGGGTACAACCTATTTTTTTTAAATTTGATACTGGCAAAAAGATCCCATTTTGCCAAATAATGTGTTGTTGTACATTAAAGAGCCGTCGAGCAATTGGCATCTGTTTTCGTTGGAGGTCAGCAAGTGAACTGTACAGATATCCCACACTGCTATTGTGTTGAACCTTATCGCAGAATACTGCACAGCTTTGATAATGGACCTGGCGCTGACTGAGAAATGTTGTCCGGGGTTTGATCACCCATCCACCCACTCACCCAAAGACAAAGATCCCCCGCATAGCCTTAACAGACTGTTGGGGGCAAGTTTGGTTCGCGAGTAGCGCCGATGGTTGGCGAGCGCCACGCGCGGACGCCCACCAGCTCGCTCAGACGATCATTCACCCATTGATTTCACCGTCTCAGTCACCCGCTCGCCCGCCCACCCGCAAGGCTTGCCCAGCTGTCCTAGAATTGCCATCATCAGGAGTTGATTTGTTGTAACCGAGCTCTGAACCCCCGGTGTTGCTGCGCTGAACCCCACCGCACCGTGCCTCTGTGACAAAGACCTCCGCAGCTCGGCGGATTCCTCCAGTCTAAACGAAGACTCGTGTGAGTGGTGGACCCTCGGAGGGACGGAGAGAGCGTGAGAAAGACGCTACCTCCCCACAACCCCCGGTGTGCGTGTGTCCCCTGCAGGCGTCCCAGGCCAGGGAGCCGTCGGCTGAGCCATCCCAGGGCACCTTTGTGGTGTCCCTGGAGGAAATACACGAGGCACGGCGGCGGATGCACCTCCGACGCCTCCTCTGCTCCTCCTACGAGCCGGCCGCTGCGTGCGAACTCCGGAATGGACTCGTGGCCACGGGAGTCCTGCGCGACCCGGGATTGGAGGAGTGCAAGGGCGAGAAGGAGGAGGGCGACGAGGTGGAGGAAGAGGAGGGGGAGGAGGTCTCGAAGTGGCGGCGGCGACGGCAGCGGCAGCAGCAGCAGCGGACGGGCGACGAGGACGAAGCGGACTGTGTGTTTTTCGAAAACGGCCACGCGGCTTGCGGCGCCGGCACCGTGCCTGCATCACGCGGCCGCGGCCTTTGCCGGGACAGCGGCATCGGAAGCTGCGGACCGGATTTTGGGAGCGGTGGAGCGGAGGGCGCGGCGATCCGTTCCGGAAATCCGGAACTGGAATACGGCGGCGGCGGCGGCTGCGGCGATGACGACGGCGACGATGGCAACGGCGGAGCCCCTGTAGGAGGAAGAATAAGAGGAGGTGGCGACGAGAACGGGTTGGGGTTGGAGGCGGAAGAAGAGGCGGCGTGGATCTGGAGCCGACCGATCGGCGCCGGCGACGGCGACATCGGCCGGGAGAGCGCGTTCAGGAGGAGCGGCGGTGGCCGCTTCGAGGGCGGCGCCGGTGTCGGCGCCGGGTGCCGCGCTTGCGCCGGACATGCGGCACCGCTCCACGGCTCGCCCGGCAAGGTCCACCTCAACGGGTGCGCCGCCGGCGGCGGCGGCGGCGGCGGCGGCGGCTCCGTCGTAGAGGCGGACCCGGCGGTGCTCCATGGCGACGTTGGCTCGCCGGGCCGTGCCGCTGTGGAGCGGAGGGAACGCAAGGGCCTCCTCTGCCGTCTGCAGCGCAAAACCGTAAGCGTCGTTTGTGCCCCCCCCCCCCCCACTCATGACATGCCGGCGTGGTGACGAGGAGCCTCGGAACTCTTGCCCTGAGAGGTGCGCGTGTGTGTGTGTGTGTATGGGGAGCGGTGGTGTAGCGGTTAGCGCGCTGCGCTATGAACCTGGCGACCCGGGTTCGATTCCCGCTCACGGCCAACACCAGTGACGATTATCTGAACCGGTCCCGGACCTCCCCTAGGTCGACTCAGCCTCAAATGAGTACCTGGTGTGGTGTGTAAACATCGCCACTAGGGAGACAAAGGCGGTCGGGCGTGGTGTTGGCCACCCACCCCCTCGTGTACCGTTCCGGCCTTCATAGGTGATCGCTAACAGCACTTGCCCCTACAGTCTGTTAAGGCTATATGGGAGATCTTTGATCTTTGTTGTGTTATACTCTGTGTGTGTCTCTATGTGTGTGTGTGTGTATGGGGAGCGGTGGTGTAGCGGTTAGCGCGCTGCGCTATGAACCTGGCGACCCGGGTTCGATTCCCGCTCACGGCCAACACCAGTGACGATTATCTGAACCGGTCCCGGGCCTCCCCTAGGTCGACTCAGCCTCAAATGAGTACCTGGTGCGGTGTGTAGTAAACATTGCCACTAGGGATACAAAGGCGGTCGGGCGTGGTGCTGGCCACCCACCCCCTCGTGTACCGTCCCGGCCTTCATAGGTACTCGCTAACAGCACTTGCCCCTACAGTCTGTTAAGGCTATACGGGAGGTCTTTGTCTTTGTGTACGGGGAGAGGCGGCGCAGCGGTTTCGCGCGCTGCGCTATGAACCCCGGCCACCCGAGTTCGGTTCCCGCTCCCGGCCACCGACATGATTATCTGAACCGGTCATGGGCCTCCCCTAGGTCGACTCGAACGGCGGCTATTGTTCTTGTGCAGCCGTCTGGCACGCCCTTCCTTCCAATATTAGGAGGCCACTGGAGCTATGCACTTTAAAATCATCTAGCTTGACAAACTAATTTCTGTAGAACTGCTCTTTGTGTTTAGGTTGTTGTCCTTCCTTGTTGTCCATCCCCCCGGCACCAATTAGCACGGTTGGCTACGTACGGCACATGCGTGCGGTACGTGTGTGTGTCTGCGTGTGCCCTCCTGAACTGTGCAGAGGACGAGCAGCTTCAACGGATTCGATCTTCCGAGCAGGCAGGGAGCCTTGGGCGAGCGGCCTTCCCTGCCGGTCAAGCACGTGAGTCGACCGGTGCTGTCGCCTGTCAAACTCCGCACGGCAGTGGCGTTCGCCTGATTAAGCTGGTTGTAATTACTGGCGTAGCGTCGTATTCAGATTGTGAATGTCGTGGTTTGGCTCTCCGACACGCAACCGGTGTTGCTGTACTAGTATACTATACTATACACTACTATACACTACACTATACACTACTATACACTACACTATACACTACAATACACTACACTATACACTACACTATACACTACTATACACTACACTATATACTACACTATACACTACTATACACTACACTATACACTACACCTTACACTACTATAGCCTACACAATACACTACACTATACACTACTACACCATACACTGGTGCTGTACTAGTGACGAATTGGCCACGTTCCGTTTATGTGACAGCCCTTACTAGTTGGCTGTGTCGGGTGATGGCGGGTTTTAACGACACATTTATATACTTTTGTGATCTAGCCCAAAAACCTCTATTATGGATGATATTGGTCTCGAAAGCCTCCTACCACCACCACCACCACGTGTTAAACTGGATGGGCTATGATGACCGTCGTGGTGTGATGGGTCGCTCAGTGGGTCTAGCCCGAAATCGCAGGAAATGACCGACACACTGAATAAAAACGTTCTCAAGTGTAGTGATACCACCCAAGACATTCACCACCTCGCCTGGTATACAGGAGGTCGTGGGTTCGATCTCGACCCTGATGCCTGCTGCTGCTGTATATTTGGAGTTTGCGTGTCTCTCTCTCTATTCCCGTGGTCGCGTGGATTTTTCTCCGGGTCCTCCGGTTTTTCCCTCCACACACATGCGCGTGTGTTCCGAAACCGTTTGCTAAACCGCGGCACTTCCTCGGCAAGCGAGGAGCGGCGGCACCACGGTCAGCGCTACGAACCCCGGCGACCAGGGTTCGATTCCCGCTCACGGCCACCAACACCGGTGACGGTTATCCGAACCGGATCCTGGGCCTCCCCTAGGTCGACTCGGCCTCAAATGAGTACCCGGTTTGCTGTGCGTAAAATCATCGCCACCGGGCAAGCAAAGGCGGCCGGGCGTGGTGCTGGCCACCCACCCCCCTCGTGTGCCACGGTGCCGGTCCTCGTTGGTGTCCCAACAGTCTGTTTAAGGCTACACGGTGGGTGCGGGGTGCGGGGGGGGGGGGTTGGATCTTTGTCTTCGATGAAGGAGGAGGATGCGGATCCGTCCGGGGAGTCCCCCTATCGACGAGCGTCGGCGCCGGACAGCTTCCTGGGCAAGAAGGTCAAGTCGGTGCGAGACACGATGAAAAAGACCATGACCAAGCTGGCAAAGGCGAACTGTGAAGAGGTGGAGACTGTCACCATCGTTTTCGTTATCGTCGTCATCATCATCACCATCGGGGCAAGCAGCATCTCACGGCGAGATGTTAACTACCTCGCCGGGTATACAGGAGGTCGTGGGTTTGATCCCGACCCTGACACCTGCTGTGTTCTCTCATTACTATACTGTAGTCATTGTCCATTCAGTAGAATAAATATAATCATCTCATGGGTAGCAGTCGTGTAGTGGTTTAGCGCACTGCGCTATGAACCCAGGGAATTTAGTTGAATTCCTGACCATGGCTATAATCGGTGGTCTCTCCTGGCCAGCCCAATATTTTCGGTAGATTTATAACCTAAACACCATCACCAAAAATGCAAAGACAAAGATCCCCCGTACAGCCTTAACAGACTGTTGGGGCAAGTGCTCTTAAACGAGTAGCGCCTATGAAGGCCGGCACGGCACACAAGGGGATGGGTGGCCAGCACCACGCCCGGCCGCCTTTGTCTCCTCAGTGGCGATGTTTACACACCGCACCGGGTACTCATTTGAGGCTGAGTCGACCTAGGGGAGGGCCAGGATCCGGTTCAGACAATCGTCACCGGTCTTGGCCAAGAGCGGGAATTTAACTTGAGTTGCCGGGTCCGGAGCGCAGCGTAGCGCTAACCGCTACACCACCGCTCGCCTCGCCTCTATCACCACCGCCACCGCCACCACTCACCTGCCCTGCCTCTTCACCCCCACAGCGTGAATCCGACTTCGACGTTGCCCTCCGCTGCACGCGTCTCTCTCTGGAAGAGGAGCAGCTGGTGGAGGAGAAGCCGCAGTGCAACAACCACAACAACGGCCACCACCACCACCACCACCACCACCAGCAGCAGCGGCAGCTAGCCGAGGAGGGTGGTGAGGTGGATGAGGGAGCGGGAGGGCGTCACGAGAACTTGGCTTCCTGCCTGAACGGCGCCCGCCTGCGGGAATTCCACCGCTGCGCCGCTCGTGGCCCCCCGAGCTCCTCCTGCCGCCGGGCGCCGGAGGGCGGCGGCGCCGGGGGCTCGTGCGGGACCGGCGAGCGTCTCGCCGCGACCGGCGCCTCCCGCTCGCCGGGGGGCGCCGCGGCCACGCCGCCCGTGGCGCCGGTGTCGCCGCGAGACCGGCGGAAGGCCGGCGCGCACGCCACGGAGGTGCGCGCCATCGTCCACCGGGAGAACCACGCCACCGGTGAGGACGATTGCCCGCTCGCTACGTCGCTCGCTACGTCGCTCGCTCCTGGAGGGTTCGCGCAGGTTTTCCGAGGCGGTGCCAGGCGCCGGCACCGCGGTTGGCCGACGTACGGCGCGAAAGAAGTTCAACACACGCACACTCACACACTCACACACACACACACACGTGCACACTCACACGCACACTCACACACGCACGTACGCTGTCGCGCGCGGGGCGGCTAACGCCGTCGCCACGGCGCTTCTCTCGCCCCGCGTCCACGCAGAGCCGCCGTCCGTCCCGGGCTTGGCGGCGGACACCGGCGCCGGTGCGGAGACGGCGCCGGGGCCTTCGGCTGACGGCGACCGATCGTCCTCGGCGGCGGCGGCGGCGGCCGGCGGAGACGCGGTGAGGGCGGCGGCGGCGCAGGTCGTCCGGGGGGGGCATGCGTGGGGTTTTGGGACGGAGCTGTCCTGGGGCTGAGCACAATAAATGTATAAGTAAAATGTAACAAGGCCGGGTGGGGGTCATCCCGTCGGGGCGTCTTCCGGAGAAGCGGACGCTGGGTTCGGTTTCGAACTTTCTGGGTCTCATTGGCCGACTCCTTGCCCCCAATCTCGCTCGCAAACTCGAGCAATAAAGTGATAAACAAAACGGACCACACACATGTGTACCGATACGCGGAGACTGTGTTTTAACGTATATATAAAAAAATGTTTTTATAGTATGTTTAAATCATTTTATAATATATTTAAATAATGTTATGATGTATTTGTCGCCAGGAAAGTAAAGGTTCCTCACGTCGCAAAAAAACGAAACCCAAGACGGTGCTGGAACTGCTGGAGAGGATTCACCTGCAGGTGACCGTCCGGCTCACAACGACGACGAAGATGACGGCGATGACGACGGCGATTACCATGGCGATGACGACGGCGATGACCATGGCGATGACGACGGCGATTGCCATGGCGATGACGACAGCGATGACGACGGCGATGACCATGGCGATGACGACGACGATGACGACGGCGATTGCCATGGCGATGACGACGGCGATAACGACGGCGATGACGACGGCGATGACCATGGCGATGACGACGGCGATTGCCATGGCGATGACGACAGCGATGACGACGGCGATTACCATGGCGATGACGACGACGATGACGACGGCGATTGCCATGGCGATGACGACGGCGATAACGACGGCGATGACGACGGCGATGACGACGGCGATGACGACGGCGATTACCATGGCGATGACGACGGCGATGACGACAGCGATTGCCATGGCGATGACGACGACGATGACGACGGCGATTACCATGGCGATGACGACGGCGATGACGACGGCGACAACCATGGCGATAACGACAGCGATGACGACGGCGATGACAATGGCGATGACGGTAACAATAAAGACGATAACAATGACAGTCGCCCCGCGTGCTATAGAACTACGCGGCGCTGCGGGTGAATGTGTGAATGAGCGAATGGCTGGCTGGGTAGGTGGGTGGCGGAGCGAGCGAGCGAGCGAGCGACTGACTTGCGTGCGTCATCGCCCCCTCTCCCCTCCCGGCGCGCTGCAGGACTACGCGGGGCTGCTGACGCGGAGCGGCTACGAGGACCTGGAGACGCTGGGCCTGCTGGACGCGGAAGACCTGGACGAGATGGGAGTCCTCGACCACGAGCACCGTGCCAAGCTGCTCACCGCCGCCGCCCTCCTGCGAGCCGACGAACGCGGTACGGGAGGCTCTCCACCTCCACCGTGGGGCCACTCAGACTCACACCTTCACTGTGGGCCTCTTGGGCTTACACCTCTGCCGTGGGGTTCCTGAGACTCGCTCCTCCACCGTGGGGCCACTCAGACTCACACCTTCACTGTGGGCCTCTTGGGCTTACACCTCTGCCGTGGGGTTCCTGAGACTCGCTCCTCCACCGTGGGGCCACCCAGACTTGCACAACAAGAGAATCAGATGACTCTCGTTAAAGTTGATCCGATACGCACGCACACACCCACGCACGCACACACACACGAACCCACGCAACCACGCATGCACGCACCCACGCACACAAATCCATGCATGCACGCACCCACGCACACACACGCACCCACGCACACACACAAACCCACGCACGCACACGCACCCACGCACACACACACAAACCCACGCACACCCACGCACACACGCAAACCCACGCACACACGCAAACCCAAAACCACGCATGCACACGCACCCACGCACACGCACCCACACACACAAACCCACCCACGCACACACACGTCGAACTTCATCCGCACCCACCGTACGTAAGTCAACCGCGCTAATCCGCAGGGCCGGTGCGTTTTTCGCCAGACAACCACGGCCGGCAGAGGAACGCGTCGTTCGACCAAGACGCCGCTCACCGCGGCACGTCGGCCTTAGCGACGGCCTGGCACCGCTCGCCGGGCCGCTCCGCCGAAGACCCGCGGCGCCGCGCGGGCGTCCGGTGCCTCTCAGACGGCTCGCGCCGAGGGCCGGCCCCGGCCGCCGCGTGGGGCTGCGGCGGCGCGGAGACGCGGGGCCCGGCGAGGCGGTCCTGGTCGCTGGACGACGTGCGGAAGATCGAGCACCTCCTGGAGTTCGGCAGGTGGCAGCGGAGGCTCGCGCGCCGCGGCACGGCCCCGAGTCGCGACCCGCAGGGCGTCTGGTGGAGTCCCGGTCACCGCCGCCACCACCACCGCCACCGTCATCGTCATCGTCGCGACGAGCAGCGGGACCTCGGGGCGTGCGGGGAGGACGTCGCCGCACGCCAGACCGCGGCGGACGCGGCCGCGATCGAGCCGACCGATGCGGTGACGTCGACGGCAGCGACGCCCGGAGCAGCCTCCTCGGACGGGCCGGGAGCAAAGGCGGTGGCGGGGGCGGCGGGGGCGGCGGTCGATCCGGCCGGTGGTGACCCCAACGGTGAGGCTGTCGCGGAGCCGCCGGCGGCGGGCGCCACGTCTCGCGAGGCCGACGACGCCGCGACCGACGAGGAGGAGAAGGCCGTCAGGCACCGCCGGTCGACGACGACGACGACGGCGGTGGAGGCGGAGGCGGTGGAGGTGGTGAACCTCGCCGAGCTTGCCGACCGGCGCGGCGACGCCGACGGGCCCGCGATGTCGCGCAGCCCCCCCGGGGCGGACTCGGAGAGGGCGGCGGGGGGCGGAACGGAGAGCGTCGACGGAGTCGGAGGGAGACACCACCACGACCACCGCGACCACCGCCACCACCGCCAAGCACGCCCCAACAGTTCCCACGGCGACGGCGGCTGGGCGACCGACGGCTCCGCGTGGCCGCCGGCGGCCAACGACCTGGCGGCGATTCTGCTGCAGAGGGAGCCGGAGGGGGAGGTCGTGGGCGCGGAGCGGTGCGCCGAGAAGGTGAACGCTCGCAGACCCCCGCGCCGGGAAGGGACACCCCGGGTTCGACTCCCGCCCCGAGGAGGGGGGGCGTTGTCTTGTGCTTTGCCTACCGACGATGACAATTGTTGCAAAGCATGATAGCGGCTGGGGTGATGAAGAGCAGGGTCGTTGTGAAAAGTGGTGGTGGTGGTGGTGTAGTTTTGGTAGTGACAGGTGGGAGTGGTTAAGGAGATGTTGGGGTAGTGATAGGGGTTGTGGTCGTATTAGGGGTAGTGATACACAACATCACAATCACAACATTCACAACATTCACAACATTCACAACAACAACCAACAAGTGAAGTTGTTTCAGCAACGTTCCAGCTGCGATCGTTTCGGCTCGACGGTTCTGTCGCGCGCCTGGTCCTAGCAAGGCCTGCGAATCGATACTGAACCGGAATAACGTTTGTCAAACAAAAAATATAACAACAGTAATAATAATAATTCTCTGCGGCTTTTGCAAAACCTGAACCGGAGCGGTGTTCGTCGGGGCTTGTATCCGAGCGAGCGACCGAGGCGAGTCGGTGCCAATGTGTTTCAGCGTGGATGCGGCTCCGTGCCGGTTTCCCTCGTCCTCCGCTTCTCGCAGGAGCTCGGGGTGCAGTCCAGGGCGGTGGCGGCCAGCCTGGACGACCTGCACCTAGGCTGGCACAAGCGGCTGGCGCATGCGCAGGTGAGGCCGGGCCCTGCGGGCGTGAGTTTTGGTCTTTTTTGTGCGTGTGTGCGACCCGCGTGCGTGTGCGCGTGTGTGTCTGCAATGGGTACCGTGCCGGCCTTAGTAGGCGCTGCTCGCTCACAGCACTTGCCCCAAAAGTCCGTTAAGGCCACACGGGGGTATCTTTGTCTTTGTTTTTGCAATGGGGAGCGGTGGTGAAGCAATTACCACGCTGCGCTACGAACCCGACTTTGAGCCGGGTTCGATTGCCGCTCACGGCCAACACCTGTGGCGATTGTTTAAACCGGTCCTGGACCTCCCCTAGGGCGACTGAGCCTCAAATGAGTACCTGGTGCGGTGTGTTAACATCGCAACTCGGGAGACAAAGGCGGCCGGGCGTTGGTGCTGGCCACCCACCCCCCCGTGTGCCGTGCCGGCCTTCACAGGTGCTCGCTAACAGCACTTGCCCCAACAGTCTGTTAAGGCTACACGGGGGATCTTTGTCTTGCAATGGAGAGCTAGATTGCAGAAATTTGGCACAGTAGGGGGCACAGGTGGTGCATCTGCCAGTCATCTCAGTCAGTCAACTCGTGGCACCTAGGTTAACTCAGCCTTAAATGGGTCCCTGGTGCGGTTTGTCTAAACATCACGTGCGCACTTCAGGGTACATTCGGGCCGTAGCGCGTGTGGTGTTGCCGCAATTCCTGGCATTTCGCTCCGAAGCACGTGATGCGAAACGTCGGACATCGCGCCGGTGCGCGCGCAACCGCTAAGATGTACGCGGCGACGTTTTTAATCGCTGTTCCCGTCACCTCCGTTCGACAGATCCTCCGTTCCGACCAATCGGGCAGCTCCGTGTACATCAACGGGCTGAGCGACGACATCGTGGATCAGCTGACCCTGGGAGAAGTGAAGGATTCCGGGAGGGACGACCGCCCCCTGCTGCCCATGGTCAAAGGGCCATTCGAGAGGCACTCCGGTGCGAGCGCCGTTCATCCCAGGAGGTGACGAGGATGCGCGGGGAACCGATCAACGGTCGAAGCCTTCGGTGTTACTGAATTGGCGCTACACGTTCGGTCCGAAAGTTCAAACTAAAACTCAACGAAACGTTTTTTTTTTATCTCACCAGGTAAGGCTCCACTGAGCTCTGTAGCGCTTCTTCAGAAGCCATCCTGGCTATCCACAAATGATAGCTCAACGAAGTGGCCCAATCACGTGGACGTTTATTGCAGCCAAATGCTCCAAAACGCGTGACGTCAATTGTAAATGTGGAGGGGAAAAACCGGAGGACCCGGAGAAAAATCCACGCGACCACGGGGAGAGAGAGAGAGACGCAGACTCCAAATATACAGCAGCAGTCATGGTGGTGGTGGGGTAAAGTGTGGGGTGCTCGCTCACGCCTCTTCAGAGATGTCTTGCCAGCGGCCCCCGGAAGAAGTCGCTAAAAAATACTTTCCCGAAGGGACTTTCTGGCACTGCCTCCGAGCCGAGGAACACTTCTTTGAGCTGAGGAACACTTCTTCTAGCCGAGGAACACTTCTTCGAGCCGAGGAACACTTCTTCTAGCCGAGGAACACTTCTTCGAGCCGAGGAACACTTCTTCGAGCCGAGGAACACTTCTTCGAGCCGAGGAACACTTCTTCTAGCCGAGGAACACTTCTTCGAGCCGAGGAACACTTCTTCGAGCCGAGGAACACTTCTTCGAGCCGAGGAACACTTCTTCGAGCCGAGGAACACTTCTTCGAGCCGAGGAACACTTCTTCTAGCCGAGGAACACTTCTTCGAGCCGAGGAACACTTCTTCGAGCCGAGGAACACTTCTTCGAGCCGAGGAACACTTCTTCTAGCCGAGGAACACTTCTTCGAGCCGAGGAACACTTCTTCGAGCCGAGGAACACTTCTTCGAGCCGAGGAACACTTCTTCGAGCCGAGGAACACTTCTTCGAGCCGAGGAACACTTCTTCGAGCCGAGGAACACTTCTTCGAGCCGAGGAACACTTCTTCGAGCCGAGGAACACTTCTTCGAGCCGAGGAACACTTCTTCGAGCCGAGGAACACTTCTTCGAGCCGAGGAACACTTCTTCAAGCCGAGGAACACTTCTTCGAGCCGAGGAACACTTCTTCGAGCCGAGGAACACTTCTTCGAGCCGAGGAACACTTCTTCGAGCCGAGGAACACTTCTTCGAGCCGAGGAACACTTCTTCGAGCCGAGGAACACTTCTTCGAGCCGAGGAACACTTCTTCGAGCCGAGGAACACTTCTTCGAGCCGAGGAACACTTCTTCGAGCCGAGGAACACTTCTTCGAGCCGAGGAACACTTCTTCGAGCCGAGGAACACTTCTTCGAGCCGAGGAACACTTCTTCGAGCCGAGGAACACTTCTTCGAGCCGAGGAACACTTCTTCGAGCCGAGGAACACTTCTTCGAGCCGAGGAACACTTCTTCGAGCCGAGGAACACTTCTTCGAGCCGAGGAACACTTCTTCGAGCCGAGGAACACTTCTTCGAGCCGAGGAACACTTCTTCGAGCCGAGGAACACTTCTTCGAGCCGAGGAACACTTCTTCGAGCCGAGGAACACTTCTTCGAGCCGAGGAACACTTCTTCGAGCCGAGGAACACTTCTTCGAGCCGAGGAACACTTCTTCGAGCCGAGGAACACTTCTTCGAGCCGAGGAACACTTCTTCGAGCCGAGGAACACTTCTTCGAGCCGAGGAACACTTCTTCGAGCCGAGGAACACTTCTTCGAGCCGAGGAACACTTCTTCGAGCCGAGGAACACTTCTTCGAGCCGAGGAACACTTCTTCGAGCCGAGGAACACGTCCGCCAGCAGTCGCGTGAGCAAAACAATTGCAGGGTGCTGCGCCTTTAGCTTCAACTGTGCTGGTTCGCGAATCTTCTCACGTACGGCTGCTGATGTAGACGGAGGGACAACGACTGCAGTTTCACATGCAGGTGGTCGAGCCCAGATAACCGCATCAGGAGCAGCGGAGTGGTGCATCATCGCTGTGATGTCTCCTTCGTGTTTGTGGATCGGGCCATTGCGTCGACGTATGTTGTACTCCGGTCCGTTCTGGATGACCCACAGTCGCCACACTACTACCGGAGGAGTTTTTTTTATTTCCCCATTTGTGCATCGTCAGGTATCCGCATCTAATGCTGCCATGCTTTGTGCGGTGTATGCGGTTTAGAGTGGACCGCGAACTCCGGGGGACGTTCAAACCCCAGGGATCTTCTGCGTTGGGTCTTTCACATTAAGGTGGCGTTTGCCTGTGAGCTTCTTTTGAATTCCATTCAGTTCTCCCAACTTAATCGGGGGTTGAGTTTGCGTCATTCAAGGTTACAAGCGCAAGGGGGCCAAAAGAGCCTTGGGTGGCTTCAAGCGACGACGAGGGGCGTGGTCGAGGTCCTGATGAACGAGACGGGGGGCACGGAGAGACACGGTGGTCCGAGTGCACCGGGGTGTGGTGGGGGGGCTCGGACATCGGCACCGTCCGTGAGGTCGCGCCTCCAAGGGGTCACGCCGTCGCCAACGTGACCCATCTGGAGCGAGAGGGTCACTGGAACTTCCGGGGGGGGTCCAAAACGTCGCTACTGGACATCTGGTGATGAAGCGCTTTGTAGCCCTTGGGATTCCTCCAGTAAGAATAAATAGTCCGATTCTGGCTCTGTCGCCTTCGCAGGGACCTCGAAGAGCCTACGGCGGTCGCGAAGACGGCACGATGCTGTACCGTCGGTCGGGACCTTGGCTGCCTGCGATGTGCTTGGCGTGCGGTCGAATACGCTTTGGACTTGTGGCGTTTTATGCGACGATCACGAAGTGTTCCGTCATTACACACACAAAGTGCTCGCCACAAATGAACCGTAACACCTCGCTGATGTCGTAAAGGATTTATAAACCACCACCGCGTGAGCTCCGGTCATCCTCACAGCAGCAGCAGCAGCAGCAGCGACTTTTGGCTCAGCCACTAAACAAAAGCGGTGATCACCGCATCGTCATCGCGCGGCGCTTTCAGACGCGCTTCTGCGGACGTCTGGAACGCTCTTCCGTTATTAGGAAGCCACTGAGAGCTGTGCACCTTTAAATCATCATCTAGATTGACACACTCATTTCTTTAAAACTGCTTTTTCGTGTTTAGCTTGTTGTTCTCCTTCCCCCGCACCTCCGAATGGCACGGTTGGCTACGTATGGTGCGAAAGAAGTTCAACATGCATACAAAAAAAAATGTGATGCCGCATGGCTTACGCGTTTCCGGTCGCCGACGATTGCCGGCGCTTCCAGCGGTGGCTTTTTAAAACTCATTCACGGAGTTGGCCAAAGCATCCAAATGTCGAACCTCAGAGCTTGGGCAATTTGCCGGCGCCGCGTGTCCAGGCCGCCTTCCCCGATCGTCTGCGGTTCACCCACGCCTCTGGATCGTCGCTAAAACATCCGCGCGCAAACTCGTGGGCACGAATAAAAAGATGACGGTTTGTGTTGTTGTTGCCTGGAACGGGTCGCTGAGCCTGTCAGAGTAACTTTGGCATACTTTGAATTCTGGGGAGGTGTAGGGTGAGTGGGGGGGGGGAGGGGGGGTGGGGGGCTCTGTTTAAATGAATCTGCCGCATGCATGAATGCCCACCCTCCCCCTCCCCCCAAAAATGTGCCCTTGTAAAACAGATCTCTTAATCGAGTCCATAAAATGCGCGGCTACGGTTTAACGAGCGAGCGCAGTGTGGCACAAAAGCGCACCGTTTGGAAGGCACTTTGGCGGGGAAATTCGCGACGAGCCACCGCGCGATGAGCAACCTCGTGACGAGCCACCTCGTGACGAGCCACCTCGTGACGAGCCACCTCGTGACGAGCAACCTCGTGACGAGCCACCGCGCGATGAGCAACCTCGTGACGAGCCACCTCGTGACGAGCCACCTCGTGACGAGCAACCGCGTGACGAGCAACCGCGTGACGAGCCACCGCGTGACGAGCCACCTCGTGACGAGCAACCTCGTGACGAGTCACCTCATGACGAGCCACCTCGTGACGAGCAACCTCGTGACGAGTCACCTCATGACGAGCCACCTCGTGACGAGCAACCTCGTGACGAGCCACCGCGAGACGAGCCACCTCGTGACGAGCCACCTCGTGACGAGCAACCTCGTGACGAGTCACCTCATGACGAGCCACCTCGTGACGAGCCACCTCGTGACGAGCCACCTCGTGACGAGCCACCTCGTGACGACCCACCGCGAGACGAGCAACCTCGTGACGAGCCACCTCGTGACGAGCAACCTCGTGACGAGCCACCGCGTGACGAGCCACCTCGTGACGAGCCACCTCGTGACGACCCACCGCGAGACGAGCAACCTCGTGACGAGCCACCTCGTGACGAGCAACCTCGTGACGAGCCACCTCGTGACGAGCCACCGCGAGACGAGCAACCTCGTGACGAGCCACCTCGTGACGAGCAACCTCGTGACGAGCCACCTCGTGACGAGCAACCTCGTGACGAGCCACCTCGTGACGAGCCACCTCGTGACGAGCCACCGCGTGACGAACCACCCCCGTTCCGTTGCGAACCGGTGGGAGGGGAAAAAAACCTAAATAATGATCGGGATCTTAACGGAAAAAGCGAGCGCTGTAACACGATTTATTGACATCAGTAATAGTAATGATGATAATGATGATAACGACATTGCACAAAAATTGCACTTTTATACACGGAAATTGCAAGCCGAACGAAAGCGCGCGTGATCGTCGTATCAAACGTGATGATTGACTTAACCTCGCGGCGCATGACTTGCTCGTGACGATGACAAAATAACCACACTTGCCAAAACGAATGTTTATTTTCTTATTTTCTTTTTTTATAATCAGCACTTAATTTAAATTTGTACAAATCAGCTGTTTCCGCTCTCCATCCTCCACCCCCCTCCCCAATGTGGGTTGTACTTAAAAAAACCCAGATCATTATTTAAAAAAAACCCAAACAATTATAACAGGTCCCTGCAGGGTGGGCTGGTAGGAACATTGGAATTTTTCAAGTCTCTGCGCTGTCGTTTGCTGATTTTACACCCAACAGCACGAGATTTCACTTCGTTAAAGTATTGAAAGGGGACGGACGGACGGACACATGAATCTATTGCAGGCTGGTACACTCAGTTTACAACTTCGTTCCTACCAGTAAAAAAATCCATATTCTTAAAAAAAAACCCCATACAATTATAAAAAAAACACCAAAATTTTTTTTCAAAAAAAACCCATACAATAAAAAATACAATTATTTAAAAAAACCCATATAATTATTTTAAAAAGCCCATACAATTATAAAAATCACCCCATATAATTCCTCGCAAATCTGCAGTCTCCTGCACCTCACTTGCCCTTCCTAGAGGCCCATTCAGAACAACTGCGCTGGTGTTGAGCGTGCGAGGGGGAGGGTGAGGAGTTATTTGAGAGATTTCCTTTTTATTTCCAAACTTTAAAAAAATTTCTCAAAACAAAAATTCAAGTAAAAAAAATATCTTTTGATTTAAAGCTTTCGTGACTGCAGCGATTCATGTTCTTGGTTGTTTCTGTAAAGTCACGTTGAAGGGAAACAATAAAATAATAAAATATATATAAAACAATAAAATTCTCACGACGTTTCAAATGTTCTTGCCGTTGGTTTTCACACCTGATGATGACTGCTTGTGTTGCAGTCGAAACCTCGTGAGAATTTTATTGTTTTATATATATTTTATTATTTTTTTCCCTTCAACGTGACTTTACCGAAAGAACCAAGAATATATAAAAAAAATCTAATTTGAAACCTTTATATATCAAATAATTACACGGTTAATATATAACTACATCCAGCAATCCTTAATGAACTTGTCCAAACATTCACGCTTTGCATAGCGCAGTACAGCAAAGTAGGTGTCGTTGTAGCAAATCAACGTTGTTGTTACCAGGTCAGGCAACACAGAGTTGTGTAGCTCCTTTTCAGAAGCGACCTGGCCATCACAGATGATAACTCAACGAAGTGGCTTATCATCATCATCATCACGTGGACATTTCTACCAGCGGCCAAATGCTCTAAACGCGTGGTGACGTTGACTCTAAATGTGGAGGGGAAAGACCCCCGGAGGACCCGGAGACAAATCCACGCGACCACGGGAAGAGAGAGAGAGACACGCAAACTCCAAATATACAGCAGCAGCAGGCGTCAGGGTCGGGAAAGAACCCACTACCTCCTGCATACCAGGCAAAGTAGTTAATATCTCCTAGCCACCGTGATGATGATGATGAGAGAGAAACGCAAACTCCAAATATACAGCAGCAGGCGTCTGGGTCGGGATCAAACCCACGGTCTCCTGTACACCCGGCGAGGTAGTGAACATCTCCTAGCCACCGTGGCACCCCGCATGATTGACGAGTGAGGGTGGATTATGTGCACGACAAAGGGAGCCGGGCTTAGGTGAGGACGTGGGTTCTCCAATCTATTCCGGGGTGTTATCTCCCCGTACGCACGGTGGGGGGGGGGGGGGGGGGGGGGTGTTACTCCGGGTGCGGCTGCGCAGTGTGGGGACGCGTGCGTGTCCAAGGATGGCTCGGCGAGGCGCTCGGTTTACCGTGACGGACATCGAGGACCCTCGTCCCACCGCGGAGATGGAGCGCCGGGCGATCCCCGCGAATACGTGGGGAGATGAAATGGATCGTGGCGGTACGGGGGGGGAAAGGGCCTTCATCCAGCAGTGGATAAAACATGGACGATGGCCACGATAGAGGCTGCAACAGCACCGACCGCGGAATTTACGCCCTCGATATGTACGCGCGCACACGCACGCACGCACACGCACACACACACGCGCGCGCGCCAGAGATAAATTGACCAACCGGCCAGGCTCGATTCATGTTCAAGTTGATGCATTGACGGCAAACTCTTCTCACGGACGGAGTTGCACTGGACGGCAAATCGCAGCGGGACGCCCCCCCAAAGTCCCCGCTCAAAGCGGGGTTGCTTGTCCCGCTGTGGGCGTCTGCAACGCACCGGTGGGCCGCCTTGAATCGGGAGCGGGCCCTCCATAATCGAAGTCGCGGTGGCCGGCACGCCCGTTCCGTTCCCAGCCACGCTCGAGGTCAGCGGCGGGTGCTATCGGAACCCATCACGTTCCTCCTCTAGGTTGACTCAGCCTTAAACGAGTGCCTGGTGCCCTGTGTAAAACCATCGGCGTGGTGCTGGCCACGCGCAGCCTCGTGCGCCCTGCCGGCCTTAATAGGTTGCTCGCTGACAGCACTTTCCCCAATGGACCATGAAGCCAAGCGGTGGATGTGTCTTTGCGCGTCGTCTGTACTCTGCGCAAGCTGTATTTGAGGTCTCGCCTGAGAAATGAGCTGCGGGGCAAGCTCTGGCCGATAACGACGCAAAGGCATTTAGTCTGTATGTAAGCGTACGGGTCTCCATGTGAATCTGTGAACCTCTGTGTAAAGTCAGTGGGGTCTTGTATGTCTACGAGTCTCTGTGTGCATCCGTGGGGGTCTGTGTGCACGATCATCGGCGGCGGAGCGTGATTGCCGTGGGCCCCTGGGCCCTCACCTCTGACCCCGTGAGGTTTGCCGGCGCAGTTGCACCGCCTGCGCGCTCGATAGCTGCACGCTCGCTGCATGACGTGGAATAATAAACGTTCTCGCGGAAATGTGAATCGTTGGACAAACAGTGACGACGACGATGACGACGGTGGCGACGATTACGATCGAGTCACTTGCCGAGCAACGCGTGAAATCAATTCACCCGTGTAAATATATGCGGCTTGGCAGCTGGTCGTGCCGTGAATTTGCAGCAAATTCTACGTTTCAAAAGAAAAAAATTACAACACGCTGCAAAATGAGCTGCCACACCGCTACCGACGTACCGCGAGTCATATTTTTTTATTTTCTTCAAACGTACGTTTGCCACTCGTGTATAAATAATAATAAAATTAAAACCCGCCGTGAATATTTTGTACAGAGCAAAAAGGTTGTATGTGATAGGATGTCGGCTGCGGTAATTTAAGACGGTGGTGTGGTGGGGAGGGTGGGGAGGGGGTGGTTGTGCGCGTGTGGTGTTATTATTTATTCATGCGACTAAGCGATTTGGTCTTTCGTTCGGAGGCAACTTCCAGGAGGATGAATTGAAATTATCTCTCCTCGCCATCGAGTGGATATTCGCGCGAGACACAGATACGGGGCGCTGCGTTCGGGCCTGACAAATTGAAGCGTCTTGTTAAAAAAAAAAATCAATTTGTCGAATTTTCCAAAGAAGGGAGGGGGCAACCCCCCCCCCCCCCAATTATTTATTAACAAAATGTCAGAATGATGTTTTCTTCTCCACGAGATGTTGTTACACAGTCCGTCCGTATGCACAGCAGAACTCCTATTATCCGTGGCCCCTGTTATCCGCGACTCCTATTATCCGCTGTAATAGTGTGATCGCGCGCCACTTACTCGTCCCGTTATCCGCGATTGTCCGAGGTTGCTTTTTTTCCCCCCTCATTCAGTACCGTGCTGCATTGCGTTGGAACGGCATTCCTGTTATCCGCAAGTTTCCACGCGGTTGAGTGGAATCGCGCCGCAGCTCCACGAACTCCTTATCCGCGGGTACTGACCGACTCACCGTTCTCTCTCACCGGCATGCAGAGCTCCCATTGTTGTTGATGCGCATTTTCACAAATGCGTCCCAATTTTATCACCGTTCCTTTCCGAGAGACGAGCGGAGGAGTGAACACCGCGGATACGCCTCGCGGATAATAGGATCTGCGATACATTGCCGCGGATAACGGGAGGGGGTGGCGGGGGGAGGGGTGGAGGCCATTCCCTTGTGCGTTTTAGCGTTCCGCAGTAAACAACAACAACAACAAAATAAACATTCTTGGTTCTTTCGGTAAAGTCACGTAGAAGGGGAAACAATAAAATAATAATATAAAACAATACAATTCTCACGACGTTTCGACTGCAACACAAGCAATCATCATCATCAGGTGTGTATTTCAATGTGTCCCTTCTACGTGACTTTACCGAAAGAACCAAGAATAACAACAATAATAACAAAATAAACGTTAAGACTCTTCAGGGCTGCACAGGGGACACGGGATGGGTGGAGAGTGGAAAGGATTTCGGAAGAAGTGGCTATTCCGGTAAAGTTAGCGGCGGTGCTTCCATGAAACAGCTGGCCATTGTGTGCCTGCCCGCCTACGTTTTGCCACGTCTGCCAAAAGATCATCGTTATCGTCCTATTTACACAAATATTTTTCTGCCTTATGCCAACTGGCCAAAACACGGGCCTGTGGGCCTACCTGTGAGCCTACCTGCAGGCCTGCCTGCGGGACTACTAGCGGGATTACTTGTGGGTCTACTTGTGGGCCTGCCTGCGGGGCTACCTGCGGGACTACCTGTGGGCCTACCTGCGGGCCTACCTGTGAGTCTACCTGTGGGCCTACCTGTGGGCTTACCTGTGGGTCTATCTGTGGGCTTACCTGTGGGTCTACCTGTGGGCCTGCCTGTGGGCCTACCTGTGGGTTTAACTGTGGGCCTACCTGCGGGATTACCTGTGGGCCTACCTGTGGGTCTACTTGTGGGCCTGCCTGTGGGCCTGCCTGCGGGTCTACCTGCAGGCCTGCCTGCGGGACTACCTGTAGCCCTACCTGCGGGTCTACCTGCGGGCCTACTTGTGGGCCTACCTGTGGGCCTACCTGTAGGTCTACCGGCGGGCCTACCTGTAGGTCTACCTGCGGGCCTACCTGTGGGCTTAACTGTGGACCTACCTGTGGGTCTACCTGTGGGCCTGCCTGTAGGTCTACCTGTAAGTCTACCTGTAGGCCTACTTGTTGGTCTACCTGCGGGCCTACCTGTAGGTCTACCTGTGGGCCTACTTGTGGGTCTACCTGTGGGCTTAACTGTGGGTCACCTGTCGGTCTACCTGTGGGTCTACCTGTGGGCCTACCTGCTCAACATATGCCTGGAGGAGGTGGGCACAGGAGGGGTGGTTGCTCAGCTCAGCTGTTGCCCCCCCCCCCCCCACCTGGCCCGCCCCTCTCTCGGGAACAAACAAAAAACAATGATCGGTGTTAATTCCACGTTGCTATGGCGGGCGGCGAAGCACGGCGTTGTGGGCGACAGAGTGACGCATTCGTCGTCGCTGTCGGCTTTGTCGGTGGCCGCTTGCGAATGGGCCCCGTTGGGTGCCGCGCTCGAGTATCAACAACATCAACAACAACAACGACGACGACGATTATATTAATAATAAAGATGCCTGTGTTCTCACTCGGCCACAGTCGCGCGCGCTTCTCTTTCCCCTCGCGAAGTTCATCGCTCTCGCGTCGTTGTCTATCCACTGCTGGATGGAGGCCTCCAACTCTCCCCCCCACCCTCCTCAAATCGTCGCCACCTCTCACGATCAGCCGAATGAGGAGGGATGGGGCCTAAGGCAGAATATTTACACCGGAGGAATCCGATGAGCTATAAAGCTCTTTTTCACAGATGTCCAGTATGTACAAGTATTACGTATTTAGAGTATTTGGCTACTTCACATTTCCACACGATAAGCCACTTCATGGCGCAGTGGTTAGCGCTGCGCTGCACTACGAACCCGGCGACCCGAGTTCGATTATCGCTCACGGCCAACAACACCAGTGACGATTATCTGAACCGGTCCTGGACTTCCCCTAGGTCGACTCGGCCTCAAATGAGTACCTGGTGCGGTGTGTGAACATCGTCACTGGGGAGACAAAGGCGGTCGGGCGTGGTGCTGGTCACCCACCCCTCTCGTGTGCCGTGCCGGCCTTTTAGGTGCAGCTCGTTAATAGCACTTGCCCCTACAGTCTGTTAAGGCTACACGGGGCATCTTTGTCTGCGTGTCGTTAGCTGCCAATCGATTGGGATAATTCGAGGGCTGCTCTTTTTCTGCTCAAGAGGAACCCCGCGGGAGAGGGGAGACAAGAACATTCCGAAAGCCACTCTCAGCGAGAGGAGCAGCTCGCTCCTCTCGCCCCCCCTCTCTCTCGCCCCCCCCCTCTCTCGCCCCCCCCCCTCGCTCTCCTCCCTCTCGCCGCCCTCACTCGCCCCCCCTCTCTCGCCCCCCCTCTCCCCTCCTCTCGCCCCCCCCCTCTCTCGCCCCCCCTCTCTCGCCCCCCCTCTCGCCCCCCCTCTCTCGCCCCCCCCCTCTCTCGCCCCCCCCCTCTCTCGCCCCCCCCCTCGCCCTCCTCCCTCTCGCCCCCCTCTCTCGCCCCCCCTCTCTCGCCCCCCCTCTCTCGCCCCCCCTCTCTCGCCCCCCCTCTCGCCCCCCCTCTCTCGCCCCCCCCCCTCTCTCGCCCCCCCCCTCTCTCGCCCCCCCTCTCTCGCCCCCCCTCCTCTCGCCCCCCCTCTCTCCTCTCTCGCCCCCCCCCTTTCTCGCCCCCCCTCTCGCCCTCCCCCCCTCGCGCACTTCGAGAGTCCGCGATATCTCACGAAGCAACAACAACAGCAACAACAACAGCAACAACAATAACAGCAGCAACAACAGCAACAACAGCAACAACAATAACAACAGCAACAACAACAACAGCAACAACAACAGCAACAGCAGCAACAACAACAGCCAAAAAAATAACGACTCGTGGCGCTTGTGCGCGCGCGCGCTGCGATTTGGCAAGAGGCGAGATTGCTCGATTCGGAACGCGCGCGTCCCTTCCTAGGTAAGCGTCCCCATGAGCACTGCGCCTCTCCGATTAGCACGGTGTGTGTGGTCGCCGCGGTGGCTAGGAGATGTTAACTACCTCGCCTGGTATGCAGGAGGTCGTTGGTTCGATCCAAACTCTGACGGCTGTTGCTGTGTATTTGGAGTTTGCGTGTCTCTCTCTCATCATCATCATCATCACGGTGGCTATGAGATGTTAACTACCTCGCCTGGTATGCAGGAGGTCGTTGGTTCGATCCAAACTCTGACGGCTGTTGCTGTGTATTTGGAATTTGCGTCTCTCTCACATCATCATCATCATCACGGTGGCTATGAGATGTTAACTACCTCTTCTGGTATGCAGGAGGTCGTTGGTTCGATCCAAACTCTGACGGCTGTTGCTGTGTATTTGGAGTTTGCGTGTTCTCGCGGTCCCGGGGATTTTTCTCCGGGTCCTCCGGATTTTCCCCTCCACGTTTAGAATCGCGCGTTCAGAGTTATTTGGCTGCTATAAATGTCCGCGTGATAAGCCACTTCGTTGGGCTATCATTTGTGATGACCAGGTCGCTTCTAAAAAAACAAAAAACCTATATAGCTTAGTGGGACTTACCTGGTAAAAAACTTTTTTTTAAAGTTGTTTTAAATGTCTGTTGAACTTTCTTTGCACCGTACGTACCCTACCGCGCTAATCGGAGGTGCGGGAGGAGGAATAGCAACACCACAAGATAAACAATCACTTCTAAAGTAGTTTTCCCATCCAGATTTAAACGCGATTGACAACACGTGGTGAGCGTGCTGGGAGACTACGCGATCCCCCGTGGGGGGGGGGGGGGGGGGGGGTGGCGAATGGGCGAGTGAGCGGGTGACCCAAAGTCGCCCATTAGGTGGAGCGGGCGAGTGGTGGACACGCAGCGTCCCGCCCGCCAGGGCTGAAGGAGAACGACGCTTTGACCTGCACTGCACGCGGTTGCGCGTGGACGAGACGGATCGGTCAAAGGTCATAAGATAGCCCCCCCCTCCCATATCCCCCTACCCATCCCCCCACCACCCCCCATCCCCTCCCCCCACATCCCCCCCACCCCCCATCCCACCGACCTCCCCTCGACCACCGCCAGTGGCGAGGAATCGACGAGTGAAGTTGTTATTTTGTGTGTGAAGTTGTTGACTCGTTCGAGGCGGTGGTGACCCCTTCTCCACTCCCCCCCCCACCACCACCACTTTTGCCCGACGTCTTTGGAGTGGCCGAGGGGATCGATGTGGGGGTTGAGAGCTCTCGGCCACGATGATGGCAAAGAAGAGGAGCCCCCCCCCCCCTCCTCCTCCTCCTCTGCTCCACCACACCCATCAGTGTCCAGGCTATCCGGAGACGTCCACGTCTCATCGCTCGCCCCCCACGTGAGCGTCCGTGCGTCTCTCGTCTCACGTTGGGGGTGGACGGGGGAGCAGCGAGGGGGTGACCGGGAGGGGTGGTGGTGGTGGTGGTGGACGTCTCGAGGAGTCCGTGGGCCCGTCCAGGAGTCGAACCCTCGCAAAGGATGTTCGTCAGCCGCAGGAAGGGCGGCAGCGTCAGTGGAAATCCGCTGCTCCTCTACCGGTTGATCGGTGAGTTCTGGGACTTAACGTTTGTGTGTTGTGATCGCTCAGCCAAGTGGCGGCTTATCTTCGTCATCATCATCATCATCATCTCGTGGACATTCATAGCGGCAGCCAAATCATGTAAACGCGTGGTGATGTTCAGTCGTAAACGCGGAGGGGAAACCACCGGGGGACCTGGAGTAAAATCCACGCAGTGACCACGGGAAGAGAGAGACACGCAGACTCCAAATATACAGCAGCAGGCGTCAGGGTCGGGATCGAACACAAGACCTCCTCCTGTATACCAGGCGAGGTAGTTAACATCTAGCCACCGTGATGATGAGAGAGAGACATGCAAACTCATACAGCAGGCGTCAGGGTCGGGATAGAACCCACGACCTCCTGTATACCAGGCAAGGTAGTTAACATCTCCTAGCCACCGTGATGATGATGAGAAACATGCAAACTCATACAGCAGGCGTCAGGGTCGGGATCGAACCACGACCTCCTGTGTACCAGGCGAGGTAGTTAACATCTCCTAGCCACCGTGATGATGATGAGAGAGACATGCAAACTCATACAGCAGGCGTCAGGGTCGGGATCGAACCCACGACCTCCTGTGTACCAGGTGATGTAGTCAACATCTCACCACGGGGAGAGAGAGATAGAGAGACACGGAGACGCGAAATATACAGCAACAGGTGTCATGGTCGGGATCGAACCCACGACCTCCTGTGTACCGGGCGATGGCGTTAACATCTCCGAGCCACCGTGATGATGATGATGATGAGAGACACGCACAATCCAAATATACAGCAGCAGGCGTCAGGGTCGGGATCGAATCCACGACCTCCTGTACACCGGGCGAGGTAGTTAACATCTCGTCGCTTTCATTCCTCCCCACCACCACCACCTCCTCCACCTCCTCCGTGCTTTGTTCTCCCCCCCCCCCCCCAGCGGCGTGGGGCTGCTGCTGCTGCTGCTGGCTGGGGCCGACGAGGGCCCAGGCGCCGTGCGGCGGCCTGGAGGAGGACGTGGCGGGCCAGGTCTTCTCGGTGGGATACCCCGGGCAGTACCCCAACAACGCCAGCTGCGAGTGGCTCATCCCCGCGGGGCCCCTTGACTTGGTGTCTCTGAGGGTCACGCTCCTGCAGGTGGAGCCGCACGAGACGTGCATCTTCGACAGGTGAGCGGGCCACGTGCTTCGTCGTCGTCGTCGTCGTCATCGTCGTCGTCACGATCGTCGTCATCGTTGTCATCATCGTCGTCGTCAATCGTCACCATCATCGTCATGACGTCATCATCGTCATAATCGTCATCATCGTCGTCATCGTCGTCATCATCGTCGTCATCACCATCGTCGTCATCAGTGTTTTGTATTATTATTGTCGTCCCATGATGTAGCTGCTCAACCCCGAGCCATCAGTGTCCTGACACGTGTGGCATTGCCCTTGTACTGCCGCTCTATGCTCTGACACTCGTAGGCCAATCAGACAATGCCCTCGTATTATCAGAGCGTGTTTGTTTCCATGTTCACCGCAAGTACCGTGTGTGTGGTCAATGCAGACGCGATCCCTTGCAAAATGTTCCTATTTGGCGTTTGACCATCTTAACACATCCTGTTTCATTGCCAGAAGGGGTAAAATCGTATTCTTATTTGTGTTCACGTGTCACAACAAGCGAATGAATGAACGCAAGCGAACGAATGTGAGAAGGCGGAGGAAGCCCACGCAGAACGTGGGGACACAAACTCCACTCATTCACTCACTCGCTCGCTCACTCACTCACCCACTCACACGTTGTGGAACAGTGGGAGAACAGAAACATCACACACAGCAAGGCGCCCGAGTCGGGTATCGAACCCAGGGAACTTTGTGGCTGCGAGGCGCGGGTGTCGAACACTGCACAATCATTATCATCATCATTATCAGTCACCAACATGATCACACTCTTGATTTAAAGCTTTCGTGACTGCAGTGATTCATATTCTTGGTTCTTTCGGTAAAGTCACGTTGAAGGGAAACAATAAAATAATAAAATATATGTAAAAATATATATTGTTTCATATATATTTTATTATTTTATTATTTCCCTTCAACGTGACTTTACCGAAAGAACCAAGAATATGATCACACTCACCATCATCATCATAGTCACCAACATGATCACAATCATTATCACCATCATCATCATAGTCACCAACATGATCACAATCATTGTCATCATCATCATAGCCACCAACATGATCGCAATCATTATCAACATCATCATCATAGTCACTAACATGATCACACTCTTGATTTAAAGCTTTCGTGACTGCAGTAATTCATATTCTTGGTTCTTTCGGTGAAGTCACGTTGAAGGGAAACAATAAAATAATAAAATATATAAACATTGTTTAATATATTTTATTATTTTATTGCTTCCCTTCAACGTGACTTTACCGAAAGAACCAAGAATATGATTACACTCATTATCATCATCATAGTCAACAACATGATCACAATCATCATCATAGTCACCAACATGATCACAATCGCCATCATCATCATAGTCACCAACATGATCACAATCACCATCATCATCATAGTCACCAACATGATCACAATCGCCATCATCATCATAGTCACCAACATGATCACAATCACCATCATCATCATAGTCACCAACATGATCGCAGTCATTGTCATCATTATCATAGTCACCAACATGATCACAATCATTATCACCATCATTATCATAGTCACCAACATGATCACAATCATTATCACCGTCATCATCATAGTCACCAACATGATCACAATCATTATCACCATCATCATCATAGTCACCAACATGATCACAATCATTATCACTGCCATCATAGTCACCAACATGATCACAATCATGATCACCATCATCATCATAGTCACCAATATGATCAGAATCAGCATCATCATAGTATGTGTCATTCGGCCTCCTCCACCCGACACAGCTGATTAATAAAGCTGTCACGTGATGAACAAACGTGACGATATAACCGTTCTTTCGTCATCATCAACATCATCACTGTCATCGTCATCTTCATGATCATCGTCATCATCGCCATCATCGTCATCGTCGTCATTTTCATCATCATCTTCATAACTGTCATCATCGTCATTGTCACCTTTATGATCATCGTCATTATCATCATCGCTGTAATCGTCATCATCATCGTCATCATCATCATCGTCGTCATCATCAACATCGTCGTCATCATTATCGTCACCATCATCGTCATCATCGTCACGATAATCGTCATCATCATCATCATCATCGTTGTCGTCATCATCAACATCATCGTCATCATCATCGTCGTCATCATCATCGTCATCATCATTGTCATCATCATCATCATCGTCGTCAACATCATCGTCATCATCATTATCATCATCATCATCATTGTCATCATCGTCATCATCATCGTCATCATCATCATCGTCATCATCATCATCGTCATCATCGTCATCATCGTCGTCATCATCATCATTGTCGTCATCATCGTCATCATCATCATCGTCGTCATCATCATCGTCGTCATCTTCACCGCGTGCCCCAGGCTGCTGATCTCGATCCCTGCGTCGGGCGTGAGCGAGTTGCTGTGCGGGACGAACGCGTCGCGCTACGGGGAGCTGGCGGGCCAAGGCGCCGCGCGGCTCCTCTTCACCAGCGACTTCTCCCTCGTCGGCGGCGGATTCATCGTGCAGTACGAAGGTGCGCACTCTACAATCATCGTCGTCATCATCATCGTAATAACTATGGACCTACGTAAAATCTTGATTTGAAGCTTTCGTGACTGCAGGAATCCATACTCTTTGGTTCTTTCGGTAAAGTCACGTGGGTAGAAGCGGTCGTCCGCTTGTGTTGCGATCGAAACGTGATGTATTATTTTTGTTTTATTTTATTTTTCTACCTACGTGACTTTACCTAAAGAACCAAAGAGTATGGACCTACGGTAAAGCCACTGCGGTCTGCGCTGCTTCAACGGCGGATGAGGAGGAGGAAGAGCGACAGGACGCGAACTCTCTCTGTGTCTCTCTCTCTGTCTTTGTGTCTCTTTCTCTGTTTCTCTCTCTGTGTCTCTCTGTCTTTGTGTCTCTCTCGCTGTCTCTCTCTCTGTCTCTGTGTGTCTCTCTCTGTCTCTCTCTTTCTGTCTCTGTGTCTCTCTCTCTCTGTCTCTCTTTCTGTCTCTGTGTTACTCTCTGTCTCTCTCTCTGTCTCTGTGTGTCTCTCTCTCTGTGTCTCTCTTTCTGTCTGTGTCTCTCTGTGTCTCTCTTTCTGTCTCTGTGTCTCTCTCTCTGTCTCTCTCTCTCTCTCTCTCTGTGTCTCTCTGTTTCTGTGTCTCTCTGTCTCTCCCTCTGTCTCTCTCTGTGTGTCTCTCTATCTGTGTCTCTCTCTCTGTATCTCTCTGTCTCTGTGTGTCTCTCTCTGTCTCTGTGTCTCTCTGTGTCTCTCACTTTGTGTCTCTCTGTCTCTCTCTATCTCGCTCTGTCTCTGTCTCTCTCTCTCTGTGTGTCTCTCTCTGTGTGTCTCTCTCTCTGTCTCTCTCTGTGTATCTCTGCTGAAGCTTTTTCGTCGCGTCAGCAGCAGCAGCAGCAGGAGACCTCGACATTGGCATTGAGTTCCTGAAGAACAGCATTTGCTGCCATGCACACACGAGAATATAAAATAATCTTAGTAATAACAACAACAATAATTTCAACCTGTTTTCGGGCTAGATTGTCATTGCTGGTGATGCTGCTGATGATTATGATGTTGATTACGATGATGCTGCTGCTGATGATAATAATGATGCTGCTGATGGCGTTGATGATAATGATGGTGATGATGATGCTGCTGATGCTGCTGCTGATGATGATAATGCTCCTGCTGCTGCTGCTGATGATGATGATGACGACGACGACGTGTCGCCCCGCAGTGACCCAGCGGAACCCGCCGTGTGAGTCTGCGCCGTGCCGATTCGGCGGCTCGTGCGAGAACAAACTCACGCGCTACGCCTGCTCCTGTCCCGCCGGCGTCACGGGAAACGACTGTGAGATCAGTGCGTGACGCACGCGACACTTATCACGTGACGCACGCGACACTTATCACGTGACGCACGCGACACTTATCACGTGACGCACGCGGATCTTATCACGTGACGCACGCGACACGTTCACGTGACGCACGCGACACTTATCACGTGGCGCACGTGACACGTTCACGTGGCGCACGCGACACTTATCACGTGACGCACGCGACACTTATCACGTGGCGCACGCGACACTTATCACGTGACGCACGCGACACTTATCACGTGACGCACGCGACACTTATCACGTGACGCACGCGACACGTTCACGTGACGCACGCGACACGTTCACGTGACGTGCGACACGTTCACGTGACGAGCCCACCACGTGTCACGCGAACGAGACGTTAAACGGCGCGTTGACGCGACGCGCGACGCGGCGTCACGTGCCGCTATCTGGCGCGCAGGCGGTGCAACTGCGCTTGGTCCCCGTGATGGCGATGATCCCAGTCAACCTCCACGCGACCGGGGGTTTTGGAACTCGCTTGTGACGTGACACGCGACATGCTAAACGTGACACGCAGCACGTGTTGACTTACCCACGGAGTGAGTTGCTATTTTATCGACCGCCTCCGGAGGGAGTGATGATGATGATGATAATTATCCGCGTCCATCCGCTCGCTCCTCATCGCTGGAGGCGCCTGGTCAGCCAGCCGGCCCGGGTGGATAAAAATAAATTAGTTTTTTTTTTAATTTACCGGTGAAGGCCCCACTGAGATACGTAACGCTTTTGTCAAAAGCGACCCTGGCTATCGCAAACGATAGCCTCAACGAAGTGGGCTTATCGTGATCACGTGGGCATTCATAGCAGCAGCAGCAGCAGCAAGATAAATACCTATAAACGTGCGATGTCGATTATAAATGTGGAGGGAAAAACCGCAGGACCAGGACAAAAATCCACGCGACCACGGGGAGAGAGAGACACGCAAACTCCAAATATACAGCAGCAGCAGGCGTCGTCAGGGTCGGGATCGAACCCACAAACTCCTGTATACCAGGCGAGGTAGTTAACATCTCCTAGCCACCGTGATGATGAGAGAGAGACACGAAAACTCTTAATATACAGCAGCAGGCGTCGTCAGGGTCGGGATTGAACCCACAAACTCCTGTATACCAGGCGAGGTTAGTTAACATCTCCTAGCCACCGTGGCGCCGACGGAGGCAGTCATACAGCAGTGGATCGCGTGGCACGAGGTGACCGGTGGGGACCCCCCCCCCACCCCGACACAATAGGGGCGCGTGCTCGCTCCTCCCCGTTCATCGGCCGCGTGCGTGCGCGCGCCTCACTGCGGAGGCGGGGGATGGAATCATTGCGTAATGATGCGTGAAATCGGAACGGGCTCTCGTGCGTTACACCGCATCACCAGCCTGCCCCCCTCCCCCCACTCGGACCCACGGGCAGCCCCAACGAAGAGCGTGATGAGGGGTCGACCCCCCCATCCTCCTCCGACCCATCCCCGCCCCTCCATCCCCACCCCCATAACCCCCACCCACCCCCCCGCCCCTCCACCCACACACTCCTCTTACTCACCCCCACCCCCATAACCCCCACCACCCCCGCCCCTGCACCCCCACCCCCATAACCCCAACCCACCCGGCCCCCCACCCTCTGTCCAGCACGCCCCCCCACGTGATCGTGATTGAATGTTGAAGGCGTGAAGTGAGTTGGCTCGCTGGACGATGGCACGGCGGTGGGGGGCTGTGTTGATGGATATCTGTTGGTCGCTAGGCCGAGATATTGTTGTTTCGCATGGCCAAGGTCTAATGCGACGATGGGCGAGATTGACGTTTCGGAAGGGGTGGGAATAAAATGAGAAGAAGAAGAAGAAGAAAATTTAAGTATGAAATTGTAATATCGGTAGCGAAATTCCATGCGTGATTCGCACGGTTGGCGACGTACGGTGCGAAAGAAGTTCAAACACATACATACACATACACACACATACACACACATACACACATACACAAAGACAAAGATCAAAGATACCCCATATAGCCTTAACAGACTGTAGGGGCAAGTGCTGTTAGCGAGCACATACACATACACACATACATACACACATATACACAACAACAACAACCGCCATTCGCCACGAAGAAGAAGAAGAAGAGAAAGGAGAAGCAACAAGAAAACCGAAGGGCGATGCAAATTTCACGGCTCGGAACAACAAGTGTTTTGGTTCGTTTGTTCGCCTCTCTCGTCCTGCCGACGGCAATCGACGGGCATCGCTGGGGAGGACGGGGCGAGCGCACGAGTTCGATCGCTCACCACGGCCCACGTGGCCCAGGGCCTGCGCGTGGCGAGTGTCACGTGGCCGAGGGCCTGCACGTGGCGAGTGTCACGTGGCGAGTGTCACGTGGCCGAGGGCCTGCGCGTGGCGAGTGTCACGTGGCGAGTGTCACGTGGCCGAGGGCCTGCGCGTGGCGAGTGTCACGTGGCGAGTGTCACGGAGGGCCTTCGCGTGGCGAGTGTCACGTGGCCGAGGGCCTGCGCGTGGCGAGTGTTACGTGGCGAGTGTCACGTGGCCGAGGGCCTGCACGTGGCGAGTGTCACGTGGCGAGTGTCACGTGGCCGAGGGCCTGCACGTGGCGAGTGTCACGTGGCGAGTGTCGCGGGTGGCGTCGATGAACGGTGGCTTGGGGGCTGAACGCGGTTCCCATGGGGGGAGACATTTCTCACTCACAGAGAGCACGAAACCCCACACAGCTCACCAGTGTCTGTGTCTCTCTCTGTCTCTCTGTGTCCGTGTCTCTCTGTGTCTCTCTGTGTCTGTGTCTCTCTCTGTCTCTCTGTGTCTGTGTGTCTCTCTGCGTCTCTCTCTGTGTCTGTGTCTCTCTGTGTCTGTGTCTCTCTCTGTCTCTCTGTGTCTGTCTCTCTGTTTCTGTGTATCTCTGTGTCTGTGTCTCTCTCCGTATCTGTGTCTCTCTCTCTCTCTCTGTGTCTCTCCCTCTGTCTCTCTGTGTCGCTCTGTATCTGTCTCTCTGTGTCTGTGTGTGTCTCTCGCTCTCTGTGTCTCTCTCTGTCTCTATGTATCTGTGTCTCTCTGTGTCTCTCTGTTTCTCTGTGTCTCTCTGTGTCTGTGTCTCTCTGTGTCTGTCTCTCTCTCTGTGTATCTCTGTCTGTGTCTCTCTGTCTGTGTCTCTCTGTGTCTGTGTCTCTCTCTGTCTCTCTGTGTCTGTCTCTCTGTGTCTGTCTCTCTATGTCTGTGTGTCTCTCTCTGTGTCTCTCTGTGTCTCTCTGTGTCTGTCTCTCTCTCTGTGTGTCTGTGTCTCTCTGTGTCCGTCTCTCTGTCTCTCTGTGTCTGTCTCTCTGTGTCTGTGTGTGTCTCTCTGTCTCTCTGTGTCTGTGTCTCTCTTTGTCTCTCTGTGTCTCTCTGTGCCTGTCTCTCTGTGTCTGTGTCTCTCTTTGTCTCTCTGTGCCTGTCTCTCTCCCCGCGTTTCCTTGCAGACATTGACGACTGCGAGCCGAATCCGTGCCAGAATGGAGCACGGTGCGAGGATGGCTTCGACTCGTTCCTGTGCGCTTGTGAGCCGGGCTTCCTGGGCCCGCTCTGCGAGACAGGTGCGGGGTCCACAGCCACCACCATCACCACCACCATCACCACCACCACCATCACCACCACCATCACCACCATCACCACCACCATCACCACCACCACCACCATCATCACCACCACTATCACCACCACCATCACCACCACCATCACCACCATCACCACCACCATGACCACCACCATCACCACCACCATCACCATCACCACCATCACCACCATCACCACCACCACCATCACCACCATGACCACCACAATCACCACCATCACCACCACCACCACCATCATCACCACCACTATCACCACCACCATCACCACCATCACCATCACCACCACCATCACCACCACCATCATCATCACCACCATCACCACCACCATCATCATCACCACCATCACCACCACCACCACCAGCATCACCACCATCACCACCACCATCACCACCACCATCACCACCACCACCACCACCACCATCACCACCATCACCACCACCATCATCACCACCATCACCACCATCACCACCACCACCACCATCATCACCACCACCATCACCAACACCATCACCATCATCACCACCACCATCACCACCACCACCATCACCACCATCACCACCAATCACCACCATCACCACCACCACCACCATCATCACCACCATCATCACCACCACCATCACCACCACCATCACCACCATCACCACTACCACCATCGCCACCACCATCACCACCACCATCACCACCATCACCACCAATCACCACTATCACCACCACCATCACCACCATCACCATCACCACCAATCACCACCATCACCATCACCACCATCACCACCATCACCACCATCACAATCACCACCACCATCACCACCACTACCATCACCACCATCACCACCAATCACCACCATCACCATCACCACCATCACCACCATCACCACCACCATCACCATCACCACCACCATCACCACCACCATCACCACCATCACCACCACCATTACCACCACCATCACCACCACCATCACCATCACCACCACCACCATCACCACCACCATCACCACCAATCACCACCAACACCACCACCATTACCACCACCATCATCACCACCATCATCACCACCACCCTCACCACCACCATCATCACCATCACCACCACCATCACCACCACCATCACCACCATCACCATCACCACCAATCACCACCATCACCACCACCACCACCATCACCACCATCACCATCACCACCAATCACCACCATCACCATCACCACCATCACCACCATCACCACCATCACAATCACCACCACCACCATCACCACCACCACCACCACCATCACCACCACCATCACCATCACCACCACCATCACCACCACCACCATCACCACCGCCATCACCACCACCACCACCATCACCACCATCACCATCACCACCAATCACCACCATCACCATCACCACCATCACCACCATCACCACCAATCACCACCATCACCACCATCACCACCATCACCACCACCATCACCATCACCACCACCATCACCACCACCACCACTACCATCACTACCATCACCACCACCATCACCATCACCACCACCACCATCACCACCACCATCACCACCAATCACCACCAATCACCACCACCACCATCACCACCACCACCATCACCACCAATCACCACCATCACCACCACCACCACCACCAATCACCACCACCAATCACCACCATCACCACCACCATCACCACCAATCACCATCATCATCACCACCATCACCACCACCACCATCACCACCAATCACCACCACCATCACCACCATCACCACCACCACCATCACCACCACCACCATCACCACCACCACCATCACCACCATCACCACCAATCACCACCACCATCACCACTACCACCACCATCACCACCACCATCACCACCACCATCACCACCACCATCACCAACCACCACCATCACCACCACCACCACCAATCACCACCATCACCACCAATCGCCACCACCGCCACCACCGCCACCACCATCACCACCACCACCATCACCACCACCACCATCACCACCATCACCACCAATCACCACCACCATCACCACTACCACCACCATCACCACCACCATCACCACCACCATCACCACCACCATCACCACCATCACCACCAACCACCACCATCACCACCACCACCACCAATCACCACCATCACCACCAATCGCCACCACCGCCACCACCGCCATCACCATCACCACCATCACTGCCACCACCATCACCACCAACCACCACCAACCACCACCACCATCACCACAAATCACCATCCATCACCACCATCACCACCAATCACCATCACCATCACCACCATCACCACCATCACAATCACCACCACCATCACCACCACTACCATCACCACCATCACCATCACCACCATCACCACCATCACCACCACCATCACCATCACCACCACCATCACCACCACCATCACCACCATCACCACCACCATTACCACCACCATCACCACCACCATCACCATCACCACCACCACCATCACCACCACCATCACCACCAACACCACCACCATTACCACCACCATCATCACCACCATCATCACCACCACCCTCACCACCACCATCATCACCATCACCACCACCATCACCACCACCATCACCACCATCACCACCAATCACCACCATCACCACCACCACCACCATCACCACCATCACCATCACCACCAATCACCACCATCACCATCACCACCATCACCACCATCACCACCATCACAATCACCACCACCACCATCACCACCACCACCATCACCACCACCATCACCATCACCACCACCATCACCACCACCACCACCATCACCACCGCCATCACCACCACCACCATCACCACCATCACCATCACCACCAATCACCACCATCACCATCACCACCATCACCACCATCACCACCATCACCACCAATCACCACCATCACCACCATCACCACCATCACCACCACCATCACCATCACCACCACCATCACCACCACCACTACCATCACTACCATCACCACCACCATCACCATCACCACCACCACCATCACCACCACCATCACCACCAATCACCACCAATCACCACCACCACCATCACCACCACCACCATCACCACCAATCACCACCATCACCACCACCACCACCACCACCAATCACCACCACCAATCACCACCATCACCACCACCATCACCACCAATCACCATCATCATCACCACCATCACCACCACCACCATCACCACCAATCACCACCACCATCACCACCATCACCACCACCATCACCACCATCACCACCACCACCATCACCACCATCACCACCAATCACCACCACCATCACCACTACCACCACCATCACCACCACCATCACCACCACCATCACCACCACCATCACCACCATCACCACCAACCACCACCATCACCACCACCACCACCAATCACCACCATCACCACCAATCGCCACCACCGCCACCACCGCCACCACCATCACCACCATCACTGCCACCACCACCACCATCACCACCACCACCATCACCACCATCACCACCAATCATCACCACCATCACCACTACCACCACCATCACCACCACCATCACCACCACCATCACCACCACCATCACCACCATCACCACCAACCACCACCATCACCACCACCACCACCAATCACCACCATCACCACCAATCGCCACCACCGCCACCACCGCCACCACCATCACCACCATCACTGCCACCACCATCACCACCAACCACCACCAACCACCACCACCATCACCACAAATCACCATCCATCACCACCATCACCACCAATCACCATCATCACCACCATCACCACCACCATCACCACCATCACCATCACCCACCCCCTACAACCCCCCACCCCACCCACCACACGGAGAGACTCGACGAGACTACGGGCATCTCTGCTGCCCGCTACGCAAATCAATGAATGACGCAGAGAGAGAGAGAGTCTAAACCATCCAACTATTAACTTTGTTTTTGTATTTTTGCCAGGCAAGGCCCCTCTGAGCTTTGTCGCTCGTTGTCAGAAGCGACCCGAACTATTTACAAGCGATAGTTCAGCGACGTGGGATTATAATCATCATCGTCGTCGTCATCATCGTCGTCGCGTGGACATTTGTAGCAGCCAATTACTGGTGATGTTGATTCTAAAAGTGGAGGGGAAAAATATCGGAGGTCCCCGAGAAAAATCCACGGGGGGAGAGAGAGAGAGACGCAAACTCCAAATATACAGCAGCAGGTGTTAGGGTCGGGATCGAACCCACGACCTCCTGCATACCAGGCGAGGTAGTTAACATCTCCTAGCCACCGTGATGATGATGAGAGAGAGACACGCAAACTCCAAATATACAGCAGCAGCAGGTGTCAGGGTCGGGATCGAACCCACGACCTCCTGTACACCAGGCGAGGTAGTTAACATCTCCTAGCCACCGCGATGATGATGAGAGAGAGGCACGCACACTCCAAATATACAGCAGGCATCGTCAGGGTCGGGATTGAACCCACGACCTCCTGTATACCAGGCGAGGTAGTTAACATCTCCTAGCCACCGTGATGATGATGATGAGAGAGAGACACGCAAACTCCAAATATACAGCAGCAGATGTCAGGGTCGGGATCGAACCCACGACCTCCTGTACACCAAGCGAGGTAGTTAACATCTCGTAGCCACCGTGACACACTAAGAGGGAGATAAATCGTTATTGAGCCGCTAGGATATACCGAAGTGGGGGGGGGGGGGGTGTGGTGGGGGGCGGTGTAGTGGAGGGGTGCGGTGGGGGGCGGTGTAGTGGAGGGGTGGGGGGGGGGTGCGGTGGGGGGCGGTGTAGTGGGGGGGGGGTGAATCATGAGTCGTTGTCTCCTCGCCTGCCAGATGTTGACGAGTGCTCCTCCAGCCCCTGCCACAACGGAGGCAAGTGCGTGGACGGCGTCGCCTCGTACCGCTGCGACTGCCCCCCGGGATTCGCGGGGGGCGACTGCGAGACGGGTGGGTGCACGCGTGCGTGGGTGGGTGCGTGCGTGCGTGGGTGGGTGGGTGTGTGGGTGGGTGTGTGGGTGCGTGCGTGGGTGGGTGTGTGGGTGGGTGGGTGTGTGGGTGCGTGGGTGGGTGGGTGTGTGGGTGGGTGGGTGTGTGGGTGCGTGGGTGGGTGGGTGGGTGTGTGGGTGGGTGGGTGAGTGCGTGGGTGGGTGTGTGGGTGGGTCCGTGGGTGCGTGGGTGGGTGGGTGTGTGGGTGCGTGGGTAAGTGCGTGGGTGGGTGCGTGAGTGCATGCGTGGGTGGGTGCGTGGGTGGGTGTGTGGGTGCGTGCGTGAGTGCGTGGGTGGGTGCGTGGGTGGGTGCGTGGGTGCGTGGGTGGGCGCGTGGGTGCGTGGGTGGGTGTGTTGGTGCGTGGGTGAGTGCGTGGGTGGGTGCGTGAGTGCATGCGTGGGTGGGTGCGTGGGTGGGTGGGTGCATGGGTGGGTGGGTGCATGGGTGGGTGTGTGGGTGCGTGGGTGGGTGGGTGGGTGTGTGGGTGCGTGGGTGAGTGCGTGGGTGGGTGCATGCCTGCGTGCATGGGTGGGTGCGTGGGTGGGTGCGTGGGTGCATGGGTGGGTGGGTGGGTACGTGCGTTGGCGAGTAGCAGCACCTATGAAGGTCGGCACGGCACACGAGGGGGTGGGTATTCGGCCAGCACCAAGCCCGGCCGCCTTTGTATCCCCAGTGTCTCGCCGATGTTCGCTACACACCACCGCACCGGGTACTCATTTAAGGTTGAATCGATCTAGGGGAGGCCCAGGACCGGTTCGGATAATCGTAAATGCTGTTGGTCACATACAGACACAAACACACGGAAACATACGAACACACACAAACACACGAAAAACGAACACAAACACACAAAACAACAGCCGTTCACCACTAAGTGACGGTGACGTCTTGAGGCCACGTGAAGTGTCGAACGCCCGCTGGCAGGAGGTCACGGGACAGACCCAGGTGCCACGGGTCGACTGACTGAGATGACTGAAATGACTGGCTGATGCACCACCTGTGCCCTTTACTGTGCTAACTTGCTGTGCTTTAGCCACCCAGCGCTCCGCTCGTTGTTGTGAGCGTCGCTCCTCCGCCCGCTGTTGTTGTTGGAGGGCGACTGCCTCCAACTGCCCAGTAGCAGCATCCTTCACGAGCCTCCTCCACAGAGGCCGATCTTGACACCGCTGGTACCAGTCATAGGCAAGTCCACTCAGCTCCACATCCTCCTGTACCACATCACTCCATCTCTTCTCTAGCCCGTGCCGCGCCCGTTAAGCCCCCTCGATCCGGCCGAACAAAAGCTGTTTGGGCATGCAGTGATTGGGCATGCGGGCTACATGGCCCAGCCAACGCAGCCTTGCCTGCCGGATGTGCTCACCGATGGGACTTTGTCCAGATCTTTCGAGGATTTGTGAGTTCCTCACACAATCCAGCCTGGTTAAACCCATGATTGATCGTAGGTAGGCTAGTCTAAATGTTTCTAACCGGCGAAGATGTTCCATTAGGGGGGTCCATATTTCGCAAGCATAGAGAAGGGAGGGAATGACTGTGGCCGAGAAGACCCGAAGCTTCGTGCAGAGCGACAGACCAGGTAGCTTCCACACAGCGTTATGCAACCGATGAAAAGATAATGCCGCTCGACTGATTCGGAGTGCGACCTCTGCTGTTAAACTGGAGCCGGTCATGAGCACACCGCCCAGGTATGGGAAACTCTCCACTCGCTCCACAACTGCCCCATCACCGATTGGGAGTTGTGGGGGTGGAGTGTCCGATAGTACAAAATACCCAGGCAGATGCTTAGTTTTGGTGGGGCTGATGCTAAGGCCCCACCTCTTAGTAGCACGCTCTTGTTTCAGCAGCAGCGCCTCCAACTCCTCCTCTGAGTGAGCTGAAATTACCAGGTCGTCGGCATACATAACGTGGTTGATCAATACACACACAGACAGACACACACACAGACACACACGCACAGACACATACACACAGACACACACAGACACACACAGAGACACACACAGACACACACAGACACACACACACAGACAGACACACAGACACAGACACACACAGACAGACACACACACAGACACACACACGCACAGACACAGACACACGCGACGTCACCGCGGTGCCTGTGCCAGGCCAGGCGCACTTTGCGGGCGCCGCTGGCAGGGGGGAGGTCACCGGCCGGAGGTCCCAGCTGGTGCCGTGGTGGGGGGTGGTTGACTGACGACTCTCGAGTGTCTCCAGCCGTGCGCACCACACCCCTCACCTTGTCGTGCCACCTGCCCGCACGCGACGCATGTGGCGCTGTGCTGCAGCAGATGTGGACGAGTGCGGGTCGACTCCCTGCCAGAACGGCGGCACGTGCACGGACCGCGTGGCGTCCTACGGCTGCGACTGTCGCCCGGGATACGTGGGCACGCACTGCGAGACGAGTAGGGGCCGATCATACACCTCGTCGTCGTTGTTGTCGTCACCACTGTCGTCACTGTCGTCATCGTCGTCGTTGTCGTCATCGTCGTCGTTATCGTCATCATCGTAGTCGTTATCATCGTCATCATTAGTCATCATTGTCACCATAATGATCATTACCATCATCATTGTTATGTTTATCACCATCATCATCATCATTATAGTCATTATTGTCATCATCATTGTCATATTTATCATAATTGTCATCATCATCATTATCACCATCATTATCATCATCATTGTCGTCATCATTGTCGTCATCATTGTCATCATCATCATTGTCGCCATCTTATCGTCGTCATCATCGTCATCATCGTCGTCGTCACAATCGTCATCATTGTCGTCATCTTCATCGTCACAATCGTCATCATTGTCGTCATCTTCATCGTCACAATCGTCATCATTGTCGTCATCATCGTCGTCACAATCGTCATCATTGTCATCTTCATCGTCACAATCGTCATCATTGTCATCATCGTCGTCGCAATCGTCATCATTGTCGTCATCATCGTCATCACAATCGTCATCATTGTCGTCATCATCGTCGTCACAATCGTCATCATTGCCATAGGGGCACGCCAGCGTGGCAGTGCAGGCGGTGACGCTGGCGCCTCACGGCCAGCCCCTCCTGGGTTCGACTCCCAACCCGGGCGCCGCGCTGTGTGGAGGAGCGCTGTGTGGAGGAGCGCTGTGTGGAGGAGCGCTGTGTGGAGGAGCGCTGTGTGGAGGAGCGCTGTGTGGAGGAGCGCTGTGTGGAGGAGCGCTGTGTGGAGGAGCGCTGTGTGGAGGAGCGCTGTGTGGAGGAGCGCTGTGTGGAGGAGCGCTGTGTGGAGGAGCGCTGTGCGTACAGCTCTGTGGCAGCGTGCGAGTGGGTGGAGTGAAATGACGATGTTGCGTGAAGGGTGGACAACGATGATCATGGCAGTGGTGGTGATTATGATGTGTTAAGGGTGGACAATACTTTAATGATTGTGGTGATCGTGACGATGGTGGCGATGGTGGAGATGGTGAAGACGGCGACGATGGTGATGGTGACGATGGTGATGGTGGCGATGCTGTCCGAGGGGTAGACAATGATGACGATGGTGACGATGGCGATGGTGATGATGGTGACGATGGCGATAGTGGTGATGGTGGTGATGGTGATGATGGTGGTGATGACGATGGTGGCTATCGTGTGTAAGGCGTGGACACTGATGAGGATTGGTGAAGACAATGATGGTGACGATGATGATGGTGACGATGGTGGTGATTCTGACGATGGCGATTATGGTGATGATGGTGGTGGTGGTGATAGTGGCGATGGTGGTGATGGTGATGATGATGCTGGTGATGACGATGGTGGTGATGGTGGCGATGATGGTGATGATGGTGGAGGTGATGGTGACGATGGCGCTGGTGGCGATGATGGTGGTGGATGTGATGGTGACGATGGTGGCGATGGTGGCGATGGTGGCGATGATGGTGGTGAAGGTGATGGTAACGATGGTGGCGATGGTGGCGATGATGGCGATGATGGTGGTGGAGGTGATGGTGACGATGGTGGCGATGGTGGCGATGATGGCGATGATGGTGGTGGAGGTGATGGTGACGATGGCGATGGTGGCGATGGTGGCGATGATGGTGGTGGAGGTGATGGTAACGATGGTGGCGATGGTGGCGATGATGGCGATGATGGTGGTGGAGGTGATGGTGACGATGGTGGCGATGGTGGCGATGGTGGCGATGATGGCGATGATGGTGGTGGAGGTGATGGTGACGATGGCGATGGTGGCGATGGTGGCGATGATGGTGGTGGAGGTGATGGTGATGATGGCGATGGTGGCGATGGTGGCGATGATGGCGATGATGGTGGTGGAGGTGATGGTGATGATGGTGACGATGGTGACGCTGGTGACGATGGTGACCCTGGTGACGCTGGTGGCGATGGTGACGCTGGTGACGCTGGTGACGCTGGTGACGCTGGTGACGCTGGTGGTGATGGTGACGCTGGTGACGATGGTGACGCTGGTGACGATGGTGGCGATGGTGATGCTGGTGACGATGGTGACGATGGTGACGCTGGTGACGATGGTGGCGATGGTGATGCTGGTGACGATGGTGACGCTGGTGACGCTGGTGACGATGGTGACGCTGGTGACGATGGTGACGATGGTGACGCTGGTGACGATGGTGACGATGGTGACGCTGGTGACGATGGTGACGATGGTGACGCTGGTGACGATGGTGACGATGGTGACGATGGTGATGATGGTGACGCTGGTGACGCTGGTGACGATGGTGACGCTGGTGACGATGGTGGCGATGGTGACGCTGGTGACGATGGTGACGCTGGTGACGATGGTGACGCTGGTGACGCTGGTGACGATGGTGACGATGGTGACGCTGGTGACGATGGTGACGATGGTGACGATAGTGACGCTGGTGACGATGGTGACGATGGTGACGCTGGTGACGATGGTGACGATGGTGACGCTGGTGACGATGGTGACGCTGGTGACGATGGTGCTGTGTGAGGGGTGGACGAGTGTAGCTCGTCGCCGTGCAGGAACGCGGCGCTCTGCGTGCCGCTGGAGGGGGCCTGGCGCTGCGAGTGCCTCCCGGGCTTCACCGGGGACGATTGTGGCCAAGGTGAGCACAGACAAAGACTCCCCAGGTAGCCTCTAGACAAAGACTCCCCAGGTAGCCTCTAGACAAAGACTCCCCAGGTAGTCTCTAGACAAAGACCCCCCAGGTAGCCTCTAGACAAAGACTCCCCAGGTAGCCTCTAGACAAAGACTCCCCAGGTAACCTCTAGACAAAAACTCCCCAGGTAGTCTGTAGACAAAGACCCCCCAGGTATTCTCTAGACAAAGACTCCCCAGGTAGCCTCTAGACAAAGACTCCCCAGGTAGTCTCTAGACAAAGACCCCCCAGGTAGCCTCTAGACAAAGACTCCCCAGGTAGTCTCTAGACAAAAACCCCCCAGGTGGTCTCTAGACAAAGACTCCCCAGGTAGCCTCTAGACAAAGACTCCCCAGGTAGTCTCTAGACAAAGACCCCCCAGGTAGTCTCTAGACAAGACTCTCCAGGTAGTCTCTATACAAAGACCCCCCAGGTAGCCTCTAGACAAAGACCCCCCAGGTAGCCTCTAGACAAAGACCCCCCAGGTAGCCTCTAGACAAAGACCCCCCAGGTAGCCTCTAGACAAAGACTCCCCAGGTAGCCTCTAGACAAAGACTCCCCAGGTAGTCTCTAGACAAAGACCCCCCAGGTAGTCTCTAGACAAGACTCCCCAGGCAGTCTCTAGACAAAGACCCCCCAGGTAGCCTCTAGACAAAGACCCCCCAGGTAGCCTCTAGACAAAGACCCCCCAGGTAGTCTCTAGACAAAGACTCCCCAGGTAGTCTCTAGACAAAGACTCCCCAGGTAGTCTCTAGACAAAGACCCCCCAGGTAGCCTCTAGACAAAGACCCCCCAGGTAGTCTCTAGACAAAGACCCCCCAGGTAGTCTCTAGACAAAGACCCCCCAGGTAGCCTCTAGACAAGACTCCCCAGGTAGCCTCTAGACAAAAACCCCCCAGGTAGCCTCTAGACAAAGACTCCCCAGGTAGTCTCTAGACAAAGACCCCCCAGGTAGCCTCTAGACAAAGACCCCCCAGGTAGTCTCTAGACAAAGACCCCCCAGGTAGTCTCTAGACAAAGACTTCCCAGGTAGCCTCTAGACAAAGACCCCCCAGGTAGTCTCTAGACAAGACTCTCCAGGTAGTCTCTATACAAAGACCCCCCAGGTAGCCTCTAGACAAAGACCCCCCAGGTAGTCTCTAGACAAAGACTCCCCAGGTAGCCTCTAGACAAAGACCCCCCAGGTAGTCTCTAGACAAAGACTCCCCAGGTAGCCTCTAGTCAAAGACTCCCCAGGTAGCTTCTAGTCAAAGACTCCCCAGGTAGCGTCTAGAGTCTAGACGCTACCTGGGGAGTCTTTGACTAGAAGCTACCTGGGGAGTCTTTGTCTAGACTCTAGACAAAGACCCCCCAGGTAGCTTCTTAATAAAAATGCCCCAAGCAGCCTCTTAACAAGACCCCCCCCCCCAGGTAGCCTTTAAACAGACCCGTGGGGCAAGTGCTGAGGACCAATGTACGAGGCGGTGGGTGCCAATAAAATACAATGACAAAACATAAATATATATATACCTGCATATACACGTAAGACAAAGATCCTCCAGTTAGCCTTCAACAGACTGGATGTCTCCCCAGGCGGCGACGTTTGCTAACACACCGCACCGGGGACTCATTTGAGGCCGAGTCGACCTAGGGGAGGTCCAGCACCGGTTCAGACAATCGTCACCGGTGTCGGTGGGCATGAGCGGGAATTCGAAGCTCGGTATTCCAGGTCCGTAGCGCAGCGTGGCGCTAACCGCGGTGCCCCCCCAATGCCAGACATTGACGAGTGCGAGTCCGGGCCGTGCCTCAACGGGGGGGCCTGCACCGACGGCGTCGACTCCTACAACTGCAGCTGCCAGGCCGGGTTCTCCGGGCTCCACTGCCAAATCGGTAACGCGCACGCACGCACGCACACGCACGCGCACACAGGCACACGCACACAGGCACACGCACGCACACAGGCACACGCACACAGGCACGCACACGCACACAGGCACACGCACGCACACAAACCCGCACTCGCACACATAGGCACGCACATAGACACGCACTCCCACACATATGCACGCACACACGCGCGCACTCACACGTACGCCCGCACACACACACACACACAAGCACTCGCGCACATATGCAGGCACACAGACACACGCACGCACGCAGAGGGCTGTGCACGCGCGTGCACGACGCTGCGACAGTGACGATCCATCACCGAGAGCCGCTCCATCCCCCCCCCCCACCACCCCGTGGCGTGGGCCGGCAGGGCCCGCACCGACCAACGGGCGGGCCCCGCCACGTGCGTGCCTCCGCGAGATTACAGCCGCCACCGCCTGCTGCTGCTGCTGCCAGATAGCCCTGGCCGCCCTCTGACCTCCCCCACGACCCCACGACCCCCCCCGCCCCCCCCCCCAACTCCCACCTCCACCTCCGGCGCTTATCTCCCGTGCCCCGGGCCCTCGCTGGGTGGCCGCTGGATGAGGAGTTTCAAAGGGCCGTCGCGTTCCCCTCGATTCGAGACGACGATTCGCACCGATGCTCAACTCGTTTAACAAGCAGTAGCAGCAGCAGCAGCAGGGCTTTCGCGATCAATATTATCCATGACAGATCGGTTTTTTTTGTTCGGGGGGGGGCGAGGGGAACAGTGGCTTGACTAAGCTACTTCGGGGCCTGTGACACATGTTGTTATAAAGGGGCCCTAAATAAAAAAAATATAGTACATATTAAAACACACATTTTTTTACTTGCTTTGTAAAGTAATTGTATTTTTTCATATGCTATACAGCCAGATAATACGACATATCGCTAAACCTTAAACACCCGGTCGTTCATACAAGTTGAAGGCGGTATAGTACTATAGTAACAGAGCCAGTGCAGAATCACTGATACCGGAATTGATAGCTTGAAAGCGTTTAGCGCGGGGCCCTTGAAAGCGCGGGGCCCGTAGCTGCTACTACACATGCTGCTACATATGCAGCTACGTTTGCTGCTGGGATAATCCGGCACGGGGGCGGCGGGGAGGGCCTTCTCACAGCCAGCGAAGGCTCCCACCGCGTCCCACCAACCCCTGCTGCCTCTCGCGCAGTGCACGGCCCTCGCGGGCGGTGCATTGGCCGCTCGTGGCAGAGGCTCGCGGCCGCCCCGGTAAACGCCGCCGCCGCCACCGCCGCGAAGCCACCACGACGATTGCCAGCACGTGGTCACTCACAGCCAGCCCCACGTGGTGGCGCGTGACGTTCCCACCAGGTGGGGCTGTTGCGAGTGACCTCTGAAAAGACGGCGTTCTAATTAAGAAAAACCTCGTCGTGCTATTGGCCTTCCCGTGAAAGTGATACAACCATCTTATCTACGAACGGTGGGCGTTTATAAACAATGCGACAAAGCGACGGAGCACTCCGATGCTGTCCCCCATGACCCTGAAGTCCACACTGCACAGCCCCCTTTGACACTGCCAAAAGCCTAGAGCGTGTAGGCCGCGTGACCTGCTGCTACATCTGCCCGGTGCAACCTCGTCTCATCAGGGCCGCGGGCGCCTTTTTCACCGCCGTGAATGGATCTCAAACGGCGTGGCTGCAACGCTCGAAGCGCATCGCAACGAACGAAGGGGAAATCTCTCAATCGGAGGACGCCTTCGCAGCCGCCCCGAGACCTACCCCGAGGCAGCACAAATCAGACAGTGCCATTGCATTCTAGATTTGAAGCTTTCGTGACCGCAAGGATCCATATACTCTTTGGTTCTATTCGGTAAAGTCACGTAGGTAAAAAAAAATAAAACAACAAAAATCACGACGTTTCGGCCACAACACAAGCGGCCTTCATCAGGTGAAGGGACCAGCCTGTCTCGAAGACTGCGCTGGAGTGAAACAGAGCCAAGCTCAGACTACGACCTTTAAGCTGTGAGAGAGGGATTAAGGTGCCTCGCCAAAGGAATTAGCGTAAAAAAATATTCCTTTGTCGAGGCACCTTAACCCCTCTCACACAGCTTAAAGGTCGTAGTCTGAGCTTGGCTCTGTATCACTCCAGCGCAGTCTTAGAGACAGGCTGGTCCCTTCACCTGATGAAGGCCGCTTGTGTTGTGGCCGAAACGTCGTGATTTTTTGTTGTTTTATTTTTTTACCTACGTGACTTTACCGAATAGAACCAAAGTGCCATTGCAGCAGCGGTTTCCAATACGAACAACTCAAAATGTTATCTTCATTAGGCAATTCGCGTTGAAGGAATAATTACATTTATAGAAGAACCAAGAATATGAATCACTGCAGTCACGAAAGCTTTAAATTGAAATTTAGTGTTGTTTTTTATTTATTAGAAAATTCATTTCTCATCTGCAGCTGCCTGATGGGGCCACGCCCTGACGCCCCTAGTGGCCGAGCCGCGCCTGCCCTGTCATGGGCGCCGCGTCACGTGGTCACACACATCCATGACGTCAGCTGTAGAATGTGATCACGATGATGGCGATATTGTGGATGATGTTGATGATTGTAAACGATGATGACCAAATTGATGATGACGATGATGATTATGACGATGTGGATGATGACGACAGCAATGACGAAGACGATGATGATTTTGTTGACGATGTTGATGATGACGACGTTGATGTTAATGACGACGATGACGATGTTGTTGACGATGTTGATGATGACGATGTTGATGATGACGACGTTGATGTTAATGACGACGATGACGATGTTCTTCTTCTTTGGTTCTTTCGGTAAAGTCACATAGAATGAGAATAAAATAATAAATTAATAAAATAAAATAACACAATTAAATTCTCACGTTTCGGCCACAACACAAATGAAGAAGGCCACTTGTGTTGTGGCCGAAACGTCGTGAAAATTGTATTGTTTTATTTTATTAATTTATTATTTTATTCTCATTCTACGTGACTTTACCGAAAGAACCAAAGAAGATGAATCCTTGCAGTCACGAAAGCTTTACATCGAAATTTGATGACGATGTTCTTGACGATGTTGATGATGACGACGTTGATGTTAATGACGACGGTGACGAAGTTTTTGACGATGTTGATGACTATGTTGTTGACGATGTTGATGATGACGATGTTGATAATGCTAATGACGATGACGTTGATAACGATGTTGATGACGATGATTATGAAGATGATAACGATGTTAATGACGATTATGATTATGACGACGTTGATGACGATGTTGATGACGATTAAGACGATAACGATGTTGATGTTAATGATGATGATGACGATGATACTGTTAATGACGATGATGATGACTTCGACGACGATGCGAATGCCGTGCAGATGAAGTGTTCGTGGCGAATCTGATCGGCTGGATCGTCGGCTTCCTGGTGCTCACGCTGACCCTCTTCCTCACGATCCGCTGCCACAGGAAGCACGGCTGTCTCCGCAAGAGAGGTAACATTGCTCCTGCGTCGCACCCCGGTGGCCACCGCCGTTGGTATCCATGGCCCCTGCCACAGGAACGTTTAATGTTAAACCGCAGCGGTACGGAGGTCCTGTGGGAGACACCTGGGAGTTTGAGTTGGCAACCCTCCTACCGGATTGGCAGGGAGTCTCTACCGGAATTGGCATTGATCTTCTCCCGGTGACTATTGCGAGCTGTTCGGGTGGTTGAGTGGGCGAGTAGGTGGGTGGATGGGTGATTGGGTGGGTGGGTGGGTGGTTGAGTGGGTGAGTAGGTGGGTGGATGGGTGATTGGGTGGGTGGGTGGGTGGTTGAGTGGGTGAGTAGGTGGGTGGATGGGTGATTGGGTGGGTGGGTGGTTGAGTGGGTGAGTAGGTGGGTGGATAGGTGATTTGGTGGGTGGGTGGTTGAGTGGGTGAGTAGGTGGGTGGATGGGTGATTGGGTGGGTAGGTGGTTGAGTAGGTGGGTGGATGGGTGATTGGGTGGGTGGTTGAATGGGTGAGTAGGTGGGTGGATGGGTGATTCGGTGGGTGGTTGATTGAGTGGGTGAGTAGGTGGGTGGATTTGTGATTGGGTGAGTAGGTGGGTGGATAGGTGATTGGGTGGGTAGGTGGTTGAGTGGGTGAGTAGGTGGGTGGATGGGTGATTGCGCGGGTGGGTGGGTGGTTCAGTGGGTGAGTAGGTGGATGGATGTGTGATTGGGTGGGCGGTTGCAGGAGTGGATGGCTGGGTGAGTGGGCGGGTGGTTGAGTGGTGAGTGGTTGGGTGGGTGGGTGATTGGGTGAGTGGTTGAGTGGGCGGGTGGTTGAGTGGTGAGTGGTTGGGTGGGTGGGTGATTGGGTGGGTGGTTGAGTGGGCGGGTGGTTGAGTGGTGAGTGGTTGGGTGATGGGGTTGACAACCCTCCTGGATTGGCAGGGATTCTCTACCGGAATCGGCATGGATCTTCTCCCGGTGATTATTGAGATCAATCCTGGAGATTTAAATAAAAGAAGATATTTTAAGAAAATGCATTTTTTTAAAAAAATCTTCCCGAATTGGTTCAGTCAGAGTTGGCAACCCAAGCTTGTAACTAGATGAAGTCAGTGGTCAATAAATTTACGATGTTGAATCAGCATTGGCTGATTTCTACCTTGAAACTCAGCCCTTGGGCTCAGAGACAATACACACCAACCTCTGTACATTTTGTATACCGCAGTGTTTTAACCGTTGTAAATAACTACAAAGCCGAGTGCAATCTTGCCAGGCTATGCCACACGGCAATCATCGCCTCCTACTGGCAGAGACTAATGCCCTGCTTGCAGGCCAAGTCCCGAGTCCACCTTTGTGCCACACAGTGACAGCTGCCACAGTGGGTGCCCTTTAACCGTGTTGAGATGCCATGTAGGTCACGTGCAAGGCGCTTTTGTGACTGCTCGTCGTGAAAGGTTTGGGGGGAGAGCGTTGCTATTCACCGACAAATCATTACACCACTCTCATTATCAACATCACTCAGTGTATTCTTCAAATAAGCTATTCTAAACTTTCATTATTATTTTTTACCAGGTTATGGCCCACTGGAGTTCTGTAGCTCTTTGCCAGAAGCGACCTGGCTAGCACAAATGATAGGTCAACAAAGTGGGCTCATCATCACGTGGACATTTATAGCAGAAGCATGTTGATTCTAAATGTGGAGGTAATAAACAGCAGGAGGCGTCAGGGGTCGGGATCGAACCCACGACCTCCTGCGTACCAGGCGAGGTAGTTGACATATCCTAGCCACCGTGATGATGATGATGAGACACGCAAACTCCAAATATACAGCAGCAGGCGTCAGGGTCGGGATCGAACCCACGACCTCCTGCGTTCCAGGCGAGGTGGTTGACATCTCCTAGCCACCGTGATGATGATGATGATGAGAGAGAGAGAGACGCACACTCCAAATATACAGCAGCAGGTGTCAGGGTCGGGATCGAACCCACGACCTCCTGCGTACCAGGCGAGGTAGTTAACATCTCCTAGCCACCGTGATGATGATGAGAGAGAGAGAGACACGCAAACTCCACGTATACAGCAGCAGGTGTCAGGGTCGGGATCAAACCCAGGACCTCCTGCATATCAGGCGAGGTAGTTAACATCTCCTAGGCACCGTCATGGCTCCCCCCCCACCCACCCCCATATAATTTAATTTGACCTCTCTTCGCCGCGAAGGATATTTCCGTGCCAGCGGCAACAAAGTGTGGCCGGCCCGGCCCATCGCCCGCGATCGCCTGCCGACTCCGAGGCCCCGGCGAGGCGTCCACGACGCCGGCCTGGGGGTGCCCGCTGCGCGTCGCGGCCGCAGGAAAATCCGTCGGCCGAGCGACTTCTCCCTGGACGCCCCGCCGCTCCCGGGGTCGTCGGGGTCCTCATCCTCCTCGTCGGGCTCCATGGGGTCCTTGCAGTCGTCCGGCTCCTTCCTGCCCGTCGAGGTGCGTGGGCGGCGATCCACTGCTGGATGACAGCGCCTCCCCGTGTCATGTAGAGGGTGGGGGGGGGGTTAGCGCGAGCGTCGCTTGTTGACGCATCGCGCCCGTGTGGAGGAGTCGGTCTGCGTTCTTGACCCCCGTGCCCCCTACTGGACATCTGCGACTAAGAGCTTCATGGCTCATCGGATTGCTCCGGGACAAATACTCGCAGGATTCTGATTTTGGATGAGCACGGCAGGAATCGCATCCATGTCGCGTTGAGGTCACCGCAATTCGCCCGCCCGCCCGCCTGCCCGCTCGCTCGCTCGCTCAGTTACCTATTCAACTACTCATTCACTCATCCACTCAATTACTCAACCACCCACCCACTCACCCACGCATTCATCCACGCACTCACCCACCCACTCACTCATGCACTCACCCACCCACTCACCCACCCACGCACTCATCCACCCACTCACCCACGCACTCACCCACCCACTCACCCACACACTCACGCATGCACTCACCCACGCACTCACCCACGCACTCACCCACCCACTCACCCACGCACCCACCCACCCACTCACTCACGCACTCACCCACCCACTCACCCACCCACTCACCCACCCACTCACCCACGCACTTACCCACCCACTCACCCACGCACTCATCCACGCACTCACCCACGCACTCATCCACCCACTGACCCACCAACTCACCCACTCACTCACCCACGCACTCACCCACTCACCCACCCACTAACCCTCCCACTCATGCATGTACTCACCCACGCACTCACCCACCCACTCACTCACGCACTCACCCACCCACTCACCCACCCACCCACTCACCCACCCACTCACCCACCCACTCACCCACGCACTCACCCATGCACTCACCCACCCACTCACTCACACACTCACCCACCCACTCACCCACGCACTCACCCACCCACTCACCCACCCACTCACCCACTTATTCAGCCACGCACTCATCCACCCACTCACCCACTCACTCACCCACGCACCCACCCACCCACCCACTCACCCACCCACCCACGCACTCACCCACCCAACTCACCCACCCACCAACTCACCCACGCACTCACCCACCCAACTCACCCACCCACCCACCAACTCACCCAGCGTTTGTGCGGCAGCGTCACGGGTCGACACCATCCCTCTGTTGTTGCTGTTGTTGTTACGATTAACACAACAGGAGGGGGTGGCAGGCGTAACACACAAACTCCACCACGTGACAGCGACGCTGGTCAACCGTCACCGCAAGTTGAACCGCCTCCGATCAACGGACACCGGCGCTCGTCACCGGCACGCGCGCGCGGCTTTTAACGCTTGACGGGCCCCCCCCCCCCCATCCCCAACCGAAGGTGGCGGTGCGCTCCAACATCCCGATGGCGATGAGGGGGATGGTGCTGGAGGTGACGGGGCGCGTGACGACTCGCGCGTCCGACGTCGACGCGTCCGCCAGCGACGCCGCCGCCGCCGCCGGCGCCGGCGGCGGTGCCGCCGTGCCGCCCTACCGCGGCAGGCCCTTCTGGTCCCCTCGCTCGGCGTGGGGGGGCAGCGGCGGCGGCGGCGGCTCGGTGCCCCCCCCCGCCATGCAGAGGGAGAAGGCGTTCATCTGGTGAATCTCGCGACCTCTCACCCGGGAGCGACGTGAACTCCTCCCTCCCTGCGTGCCATTTCACTGTTCTGTTTTCCTTTTTATAGTCCACCTCCCCTCCCCACTTCGTAGCCGACGCGACGATCCGTCGGTTGTTTGTTGTCTGGGGCCGAGGCCACGCCGGGTTGGTTTCACGGCAAAGTTCTCGTCGGGTGGTGGAGGGCTCACGACAACGACAAAATGTCAGAACAGAAAATGGCTACCAGCAAGTGGCCGAACCCCAAAGACGAAGAAACGTAAACAATGTGTACGTTGGCTTGACACGGATTCGCCGTTGACATTCAGGCCCCGGTTCGCTGCGGTTTCAACGGGCTGGCAAGGCGTTGTGTCGTAACACCCCTCCACCACCCGACGCGCCGGTTTGTTATCGTCGGGGCTCGCCCGCTGCGACCAAACGCAACGATGACGACGTCGACTCGTGGCCTAGCAACAATCGTCAGTCTCGAGCCGAGTTTTGTTTTTACTTTTTTTTACTTTTTTTTTTACTTACTCAGATTGTACATGTTGTGGATTTACTCTCCAACACACCGGTGGGCTGAAGTAGTATACTACACTATACACTACACTTTACGCTACTCTATACACTACTCTATACACTACTATACACTACACTTTACGCTACTCTATACACTACTCTATACACTACTATACACTACACTATACACTACTCTATACACTACTCTATACACTACTCTATACACTGCACTATACACTATGCTATACACTACTCTATACACTACTTTATACATTACACTATACACTACACTACTCTATACACGACACTATACACTACACACTACACTACATTATGCACTATTCTATACACTACACCATACACTACACACTACACTATTAACTAATTGGCGCGTTGTTTACGTGACAAACCTCCCTGGCTGTGTCGGGTGGTGGAGCGTTACGACACAACATTGATGCTTAGGCCGTCTAACCCGAACGTCGTTTATTGCGACGAATTCACGAGCCGGGGGAGAAGAATCGTCCACGAGCCCGGATTGCGGGAGGCTCAGCTCGCGGGGCGTGCGCTCGGGAACGATGGAGCGGCGAGTTCGAAGAAGCCGGCCGAATCGATTCAGCGAAGGGTTTACGAACCCCCTGCCCCCCCCCACCCAAATTTTTATTTTTGCGGAGGACGCAGAAGCAGAGGGGCCAAAACGAGCGTTTGGCAAGGAGACAATCGTGGGATAGCTGTTTTTGGCCCATATCAAAGTGTGAAAAATAAGACGAGGTTTTTTTTTTTTCACCCTACCTGGCAATAACCCATGGAGTGTGTAAGATGTCCAGACACCGAATAGAAAACTTGAGCAAGGAATCAAAGTACAGTACCGCATTAGCCACACACAGTACGTGTGGTGAACATGTAAAATAAAAGACGCTATCTATATGTATAAAAAAGGGAAATTTGTGAATGTGTGTGTCTGTTCGAAATGTATAACCATACTTCCCGACATGCAACAAACTTGAAATTTGGCATGTGGGTAGCTTCCAGACTGTACACAATGCAAAAAGTATAAAAATAGACTTTTGTATTTTGGGAGGCGGGGGGAGCGAAATAATGGATATATTTTGCACGGCAGGTGAACGGTGACGTCACATCTGTGATGTCACCCGCATGCGGCAGCGTCACGCAGTGTGCCTGCTGACGTCACGCAGTGTGCCTGGTGACGTCACGCACCCCCTCCCCCCACTCTCCTCGTAGGCCGTGTATTCATCCAAGACAAGAATCTAAGTCTCGGGCGAAGCCTGGTCGTAAAGCTCGTTATAAATATAATAGATGGCATTGTCTTTGAAACTGATTGGGCTACACCAGAGACTGCCTTCTTTATGGCCTAATGTCGGCAGTGTCAGACCAGAGAACGACGCCACAAGACGAGCAGCACAAGTGCAATGCCACACGCGTGTCAGGGCATTCATAGCTCGGGGTAGAGCAGCTACATCATGGGCCAACTTTTTTTTTCCAGATTTTTAGTATGAAAAATAACGTAGATTTGAAGCTTTCATAGCTGCAGGAATCCATACTCTTTCGGTAAAGTCACGTGGGTAGAAATAAAATAATAGATCACCTACCTACGTGACTTTTGCCGAAAGAACCAAAGAGTATGAAAATAACAAGACAAGGTTTTACCCTTTCTGGCAATAAAATAGGAGGCCTCTAAGATGTTCAAACACCAAATAGCTACTTTTAGCACGAAATCGAGTTTCTGCATTAACCACACGTAATAGATGCATATATTATCAAGGCGTGTTTTGTTTTGCATGTTCACCACACGTACCGTGTGTGGTTAACGGAGAACGTTGATTCCTTGCAAAAGGATTCTATTCGGTGTTTGAACCATCTTAACATAATTCTTGTTTTTATTTCCAGAAAGGGTAAAACGTCGTCCCTATTTTTCATACTTTGATTCTGGCAAAAAGTCATCCCATGATGTAGCCGCCCACACCGAGCTATGAAGGCCCTGTCACGTGTGGCATTGCTCTTGTACTGCTCGCCTTTGGCGTGTTTTGCTCTAACGCTGGTGGTGAGACGAGGCCACAAAGAAGGGCGCTGTCTCTGCTGTCGGCCAATCAGTTTCAAAGACAAGGCTTGCATACAATTATTACGTATCAAGGCCGTAATTATAATATATATTGGGGGACACACAAATATGCTCAAAATGTCCCCCCCCCCCAATATATTGCTATAAAACAGATATCTGGTTGTACTTTATTAAACTCCTAATCTCTGCCATGACATACAATGAAACATGAAAAGGTAAAATAAAATAAAACAGAGCAATGTAATACAATATACACTATTAGACATTATTGTTACAAATAAATAAAATGTGCATCCTATGTGTTAGTGAATTTTTAAAATATTTTAGGCAGGGAATTCGTTTTCAAATTTAGATTTTTTTCTGGGGGGGGGGGGGACCCCCAGACCCCCTGGAAGATTTGCCCCCCCCCCCCCCCACAATGTTGACTCCATGGCTACGGCCTTGTTACATATGTTGTCAGAGCACGTTTTGTTTGCATGCTCACCACAAGCATCGTGTGTGGTTAACGCAGAACTTGATGCCTTGCGAAAAAAAACAACAAGTGTTTGAACATCTAAACACCACGCAACTCCTGTTTGTATTGCCAGAAGAATGTTTGCAAGGGCGGGTCACCTGCCTCGAGCCCCCCAACGCACTGCTCGAGCCAAAGCGACCTGCACAAGACGGGCAACAAGACGCTAGGGACGCTCCGATTAGCGCGGTTGGCTACGCACGGTGCGAAAGAAGTTCAGCGTACGCACGTGGGTACGTACGTAGTACGCACGTGGGTACGTACGTACGCACGTCGGAACGTACGTACGCACGTGGGTACGTACGTACGCACGTCGGAACGTACGTACGCACGTGGGTACTTACGTACGCACGTCGGAACGTACGTACGCACGTGGGTACGTACGTACGCACGTAGGTACGTACGTACATAGTACGCACGGGGGTACGTACGTACGCACATGCGCACATACGTACGTACGCACGTGGATACGTACGTACGCACGTGGGTACATACGTACATAGTACGCACGTGGGAACATATGTACGCACGAGCGTACACACATACGCACGTGGGTACGTACGTTAGGTGTTGCATTATCCCCGGGAGAGGTGTCGTTGTCCCTCTCACGACTCACGGAGCCGGATGCGTTAAACGCTTTGATGGTGGAGCTGTAACAGGAATGATCGTGATCATGTAATTTACGTGATTAAATTTGTTTGATCATTCGCAGGCTTTTGTCATATCTGCCGCTGGACGAAGGCTTCCTCACGCAGCGTCAGTTGTCGGGGGAAGGGGGGTGGGGTTGATTGACCATACTTCACCACTCTGGTCATTGCGGCTTGGTGCAGTGGGGGGAGGCCCGCGGCTGACGGTAGCCCCCGGCATTGGACTGGAACTGGGAGGGGGCCGCTTCGTGGCAGCAGCGCACCAGCCGGCAACCGCAACAGCTCTGCACCCTGAATGAGAAACGTGACGGTGATAAAAACGACGATGATGATGACAATGATGACGACGACGGTAATGACGACGATGATGACGACGATGATGATGACGATGTTCTATGATGATGACGGTGATGATGACAACAATGATGATGATGACGATGACGATGATCTATGATGATGACGACGATCATGACAACAATGATGACGATGATGACGACGATGATGATGACGATGATCTATGATGATGACGACGATGATGACAACAATGATGGCGACGATGATGACGATGATGACGACGATGCGTTCGTGGTGAAGGTGATAGCAGTGACGGCGATAATGTAAAGTGTCAACGATTACAGTGTCAATTGCGGCAATAACTGGACACCTGTGAAAAAAAGAGCTTTACAGCTCATCGGATTCCTCCAGTATAAATAAATATTCTGATCCTGCATAAGTATAATCATCATAATCTACGCGGCTATCCACGTAAGCGTAACCGAGTCTTCAAGCACTCTTTGTTACAGGAGGGTCCCGCATTTGTGATATTTCCGTCACCACCAGCCCACGATCTATGCGCTGCTGGATGAAGGCCCCAAGCTATCGCTGTCTTCCGCGACCCGACGGCTCCGACGATCCGTGCAGCACCCCCTGCACACGAGCCGATTCCAACGCTCCGTCTCCTCTCGGGGAGCGTTACCTGCAACTGACGTCTTATTTTTTTTCCAGACGACAATATCTCACGCTTAATGCTGATTGTTGTTTTAACGATTATGTTAAGTCGGCCTGAATGTGACAAGTTACATTCCCAGTCGTGGGTCGACTCAGCCCATCATCATCATCATCAAGTACAGCAGTAGCAGCAGCATCATCATCAAGTACAGCAGTAGCAGCATCATCATCATCAAGTACAGCAGTAGCAGCATCATCATCATCAAGTACAGCAGTAGCAGCAGCATCATCATCATCAAGTACAGCAGTAGCAGCAGCATCATCATCAAGTACAGCAGTAGCAGCAGCATCATCATCAAGTACAGCAGTAGCACCATCATCATCAAGTACAGCAGTAGCAGCAGCATCATCATCAAGTACAGCAATAGCACCATCATCATCAAGAACAGCAGTAACAGCCCATCATCATCATCAAGTACAGCAGTAGCAGCAGCATCATGCTTCCAGAGAGGACAAAGTGAGTCGCACTTTGCGGGGAAGCCATCGGTAGTTTTCCTAGGCAGAGAATTACCCCTCGCCATGGGAACGTGGAATTTCCACGAGTTGTCAGCGTCGACTACGCTCAACCCCGGTTGAGCGGCGCTCTTTTTTAATGAGGATTTTTTAATCTTTTCATTTTTTTAACGCCTCCTTTAAACGTGCAGCTGTTGGGTTAGGCAGTAGATGGCAGCACCATACCTAACATCAAGCTCCGCAAAGAACACGTGGTTTCGTGATACAGGAACTCCTCTACTTACGAACATTCGACTCACGAACTTTCAGAGATAGGAACAAACCCTGTCCGTATATCCAGCTGCCTGTTCGGACCGAGAGTCGTAAGTT